GAAAAAGAAAAACAAAGGCTATCACATGAGACCATGTGATAGCCTTTGTAACTTTAACTTCCTATTATGCTTGTAAGAAGGTAAAATGCATACAAATTACTGTAAATACAGTCTATTTGTCGCCAGTCTACTCCAACTTCTCCATATTGTGCCAGAATACGTGATTTTTTTCATATGATGCTTCTTTATATGTGAGTTTGCTCTAGTCAAAACTGGAGCTTACTGGCGTCTATTCATGTGAATGGACAATGGATCACTTTCACATGTAGTTTAAAAGAGGAGTGTTGCTTCAGCTCTGGTCTCTATGGCGACATCAAACCTAGATGTATGTATGCATATTGTAAAACTGTTGATGTAGTTACATATAAGACGCTGTGTAACACTCAGGGCCTCATGGCGTCCTGAAGACCAGCTGTTGTTATTTTTAATCCCCTGGGCTATGTTTCACAGCAACACTGCAACCCCACACACCCCAAGCACGGGGGAGAGGTTGCTACCTTTAAACACACACAGGTATAGCTGCACTTGCACAAAATACACTTATGGCAAAGGACTAAACCTGGACAGTGTCCCAAAGGCAACAGCAGCAGCAGCGCAGTGATAATTAAATATGAATAAACACTGGGTTTGGCTGACAAATGTTAATAACTGCCATTGCTGCCCAAGTTACTGCTACCTCCTTATCTTTTCTACAGTTCATGTTTTACATTATTTTACAATCTCACAATGGTATAAATAACAGCACAAATTCTTCAGAGTGAGAGGGAATCAAAATGCTCTTAAAAACATGTCAGAGGGGATACTGTATACATGATGCTTGAATCTGACTGAGAGACTATATTTAAAAACAGCTGTACTGTTACTGTCACTGTCAGATTAAATGATTTCAGTCACACACTTGATAAATAATAAAGAAACATAAACATAAAGCACCGAAAACAGAAGAAAGCATACCTTCGGGTGTTCTGTTCGTCCTCTGTTTGCTCTCTCCTGGTTTTGTGGGTCCAGGTTTGTCTTGTTTAAGTAAGAATGAGTCGAAAAAGAAGCTTCTCTTTCCAGAAGAGCAGCCTTATTAGTCAGGCAGGCAGCAGGATCTCTCGGGTTCAGGGTCCAATAGCGTACTGCCTCTGCAGTGGCCTGCTGTCCCATCTGTCCCGGTCCCTAACTGCTCACTGTGTGGGGCTATATTTGGCCCCTGGCTCAGGTTTCACAGCCAGAATACTGGCACGAAGAGATAGTGTTGAGGTAGTCCAGGGGAACAGGAGGCGGCGGTGACATTTTTATACTGAACCAGTATTTGTTAATTAAAAACTGTAAAGCCATGCTGTTATAATACTTCAGATTGCACACCTGCAGTGTACTCCTATAAGCCCTTACCAGTAGGTTTACAACACCAACTAATCTGTGTAGTCAAGATAAATAATATGCATCCTGCAGAGTATGTCATTCTCTATCTAGTAGAGCCATCTGACACTAAAGTGACTTGTTAGTGTTGCCTCTATGCCCAACTGAGCTGACCCACTGACCCCAGACCCTCCGCTAGCTGGTTTGCCTAGAGGCATGGCATCCTACAATGGTCCTGGGACCAACACTTGGGTCAAGCTCAGGGTTCAGCTTCAGTTTAGTCAAGGTCAGTACTGTAGACATAGCAGTAAAGGTCTAAATGCAAGTGATTGCTCCAAAATTCATAATTTAATTCCTTACATTTTAAGGGCATCAGAGAAAGATGGCAACTGCTTGTCACAGGGCTGATAGCCTCTACGGTAATGCCACCGTACATTTGACACAAGATACTGTGTCAAATGCTACAGGGTGGAGGTAAACAACATATAAGCAGATGTTGTTGCTTTTGATATATATACATATTGTTCAAAAGCAGGATGCACAGAAATATAAAACAGGAAACAATTGCGACCAACTACCTGCGTCAGAAAAATAAACAATATGAAATAAAGAGCAGCAACATTCTTACTCCTTATTTGATTAAACAAAAGAAAAACACTGTGTGGTGTTTGTGGGGTGCATCTAATTGCGTGTTTGCACCTAGCCAAACCACTGGCACTAATAATTACTTCAAAAACACAATTAACTTCACCTAGTATCTGCTTGCAACCTTGCAAGGTCCTGTAGCACACTGTTAACCTGCGCCCATGCATATGTTTCAGTTTTCAGTTTTATTTGTCATATGCAAGTTAGCACAGGGTCAACATTACAATGAAATGTGTTTGATGAGCAGCAGTCACTCAGCAGCATGGTACAGTAGAAGAAAATATAATAAAATAAAATAAAAAAATAAAAAAATAAATAGAAAAATAGTAAAGAGCAAAATATTAGAGAGACGTGGTAAAAGAGAAAAGATGACTAAATATATATGTATCTATAAATATAAATATATGTACATATGTACATATGGGTAGTAATAGTAAAATTGCAGTTATAGCGACTAGTGATCATTTTGTGCTTTACTGTAATGGTACACAAAGGCACCTTTTAAAAATGTATTCAATTATGTATAGGAAATACACTATTTATATCCTGGTTCATTCACCACCTGCTTTGGATGTTATCAGTACATTCAAAGGACTTTATTAACAGTAATCAGCTCCACAGATATTAGCCAGTACACTTGGGAATGAACACGGGCATTTGTATAGTGCTTTTCTCAAAAACTCAAGGCTCTATTTATCTCATACACAAACCCACTCTTACTGTGTATGTGAGTGTAGAGTATAGATATATGGAGATCCATAATTAGCCCTAAAAGGTATATATGTGTCAACTGTGCCTTTAGAGAGACAAAAACGGAAAGGCCAGTACAGTGGGGTAGAAAGACGCAGACAGTGAAGGACCATGCAGCCTCACTTGATCTATTTATGGGCCACTATCACATTTTGTGCTCTCAGAGCTATTCTGGTTCTTCATCAATCCACTGATTACAGTCAAGAGTAGGCGATAAGTCTGGAAGGAATTTCCTCTGTAATAACTATCTAGTCTGCACGCACAGACACACCAGCTAATGAGTAATCTTACATTCAACTTGCTTGTCATCCTACCCCACTTAGCAATAACTTTGTAAGGTATCATTTAAAAATAACCACATTATTTAGCAATGACTTCTATGCATTACAGTTTGTGGTCTACTGTATGTAAGAATAGCCATGGAACATTTCCAGGAATCCTTTATAGGCTACCATGTGTGCAAAAGGTCTTCCATCATAAATTATATTTACAGTGTTTTGGTTATAGGTAAATGGTCAGACATAGACATCATTTGCTAATGCTTAGAAATATCAACACATCTATGTATAATTATGTAATGTCTAATTTTGTATAACATTAAGCCACTGGGGTAAGATTAATTCTTAAAGGGCTTCTAACAGCTAAAAACAACTTACAAAAGTACTTGTCTAATACAAAACAGCAATCCAGGAACACACAAGGAGTTTGAAAGCACACAGGGCCAAACAGGGACAGACAAACTGACAAGACAATACAGGACTCACTCAACACATGTAAAACGAATGAGGTCAAGGCAGACAATCAAAGAAAACAGAAAATGTCAGAAAAAAGGTAGGGAAGAAAACTAAGACTACGACAAAACAGATGGAAACAAAGACAAGGAAGTACATGAGACACTAGGAATAAAAGAAAGGATATTAAAAAAATCAGGAGCCAAAACTCAAACATGTGAAAGGAAACCAGAACTACTACACACATGAATCCAAAAGATTAATGCAACAGAGAATTAAAAGGTTGTTCTTTTGACACAAAATAATGAAAATGTTTCCCATAAGTAAACCAGGTATACACCCAGGAGGTCAAAAGCACCTGAGTTATTTATTACAGCTGAAGTGTTTCTACTGGTTCTACTGCTGCACAAAAACAGACATGTTAAAACGTGCATAAGTGAATGTGCACAACACAAAACAGTTTCTTTGCAATGGATTCCTGAAGATTAAGAATGGCTAAAACTCTTCAGTGTCAATTTAAAATGGCTTTGCACATCTGTCTGCTTTTTTAAGTGCTAAAACTGTTTGCTTCAGTCTTCAGTTGTTTTTAGACTCATTAAATTCAATCATTAAACAATACAGACATAAAATTTACAAGTCTCTGCTTTTTTTTAGTTGTTTTATAACAATACAGAAAGAACCATGTGTTGCATATAACAATGACAATGACAATTATATATAGCACATTTCATTACATGAAAAGTCGACATGCTTAAAATAGAAAATGAAAAAATATTAATAACTATGTAGGTTTAAAGTGCCCTAAGGCAGTGAAAACAGCAAAGCAGAACAAAACAAAATGTAAAAGAAAAATGTAAAAAAACAAACAAACTTATAAATTGTAGGACTGTGTGAATAGAAAGGTTTTTACTGTGTTTTTGAATATGCATACAAATTGGTCTCAAATCAGCGGGTAGCTTGTTCCAAAGAATAGGGCCACAATAACTGGACCTACCTTTAGCATACTTAGATCTGATTCTAAGAACAGTTAAAAAGTCTAAATCTAATGACCTGAGAGGTAAAAAAAAAAATTGCATTGCAATAATCTAACCTACCTGATGTGAACACATGGACCAATTTCTCAGACTCAGCTTGTGATGGGAATTTTCTAACCTTAGATATATATTTTAGTTAAGGTAACCTTATTGATGTGATTGTCAAAACTGAGATCATTGTCCAAAATTATGCCAAGGTTCCTGACTTGCTCACTGTGTTTCAGAAAAACTGATGACAAATAAGAAAAAAGTTTTTGTTTTTGACTTTTTGGACAAACAACACGTATTTGTGTTTGTTCTAAAAACATTTGATAAATCCAGCATTCAATGTAATCGATGCAGCTCATTAGTTTGTACAAACATTTTAAATCATCAGAGGAGATAAATGAGAAGTACAACTTTGTGCCATCTGCACTTTTCCAGTTGTCATTTCAAGTTTCATTAAATTGCGTTTCTCTCTTAGTAAATTTGTCCCTTGCTTTCCGCCGTCGCTCCGCAATGATTGGTTAAAAGAAAAAAAATGGCGGCGTCCGCGTAGTTGTAAAAACATCGCGAAGCCGTATTAAAATTAAAATTTCGGCGGCGCAAGACAATTTGGAACTCACTGTGGCGTATTATGGTTATCATATTTCTCCGCTTGTAATGTCCTAAATCATAAAAAATATTATCCATGGCCTTCTTTCTGCATTAGCTTGCTAGCAAAACCGCTAGCATAATATCAGTGGAACAGAAAGATCTCATCTGTCAGCTTTAAACGGTAAGTGAAGCTTCAGTTTAGTTTAGATTTAGGTTGTGGATTAGGTTTAGATATTTTATTTATTTTTATTTTTTAATGCCTGGCTGTTTTTAACAGAGATCATAAGAAGTAACCTCATGAGGTTCAGGAACCTGTCAGAAAACTATAAAGAATCAGTCCGTATCAGTCAGTGAATCTGTTTATCTTAATCACTGCACTATAACAGTGGTGTTTAATACGATCTCCATAATCATATTAGAGGTCCACAGATACAGATTTGTGACAACTTAAAGAAAAGTTCTGAATCTTTTGACACTGTGTTTAAGGGGATCTTTTTTGGCGTATGAGATCATTTTACGGGCATGGTTTGGCTCCACTTGCCCTCTTTGGCCTGGGTGTTAAGCATAACTCCCAAGGAACAGTAGTGACCCACTGGATGCCGTTGCAGTGGGTAAAAAATTGCAGTTATGTCAGAAATTACTGCAGTTTTTCAAAATACTCTGCTTTACTTTTTTTTTTCCTTTAAAAAGTTCAAAGTATTTTTAGATTTAGTTTCAGTTTTTTTGAATCATAAAGACATTCAATTTTAAATTCAATTCAGTTTTAATCATATAGTGCCAAATAACAACAGCAGTTGCCTCAAGGTACTTTGATATGACACCCCAGTACAAGGGCCAGTTCAGTATTCAACTGAAAGTGGCGTGAGTGTTATGTAGTGGTTACCACATTTACCTTATTTTAAAGCTCCCTGGTAAGTGAGAGCGTTACATCTGGTGCAAAATCTGCCAAATCAAACTTGTGGATTCATCTTGTTTTCAAGGGAGAAAAGGGGGCCACCAAAAGTTAAATGCTAGTGGTGTGAAGAGGCTAATCTCCCCTGCTACCTTTTCTCAAAGACCCCTAACTGTCTTCTCCCCGAAATACCTGTACAAAAACTTTGGTTCACTGCAGAAACTTTTTCTTTGGACAGTTACAATGAGTATGTTATCTGCAGGCTATATGTTTTATTTAATTTTTTAAATAAACTAAGATACCTGACTTTAGTTTTTCCTTCAACAACACTAATAATACAATTAAGTAGCTAAAAAAATTGAAGCTGTTAATTAATTAGGTTAATATACTTTTTGCAAATAACTGATTGATAGTAGTGTCTGATTTGTGAATTGTAATAATATTGTTGATCAGTATCACAGTGAAAAATTTATATTTTTTTCAAGGGAGGTAATGAACATACTATTTGTTTCTGCTGTCCAATAAAGAGTTTGACTTAAGCACAGTAGTGTCATTCTTCAACAAAAGCTCAGCTGATTTTTTTGGCTTTGACACAAATAAAAGCAAAACTGTACAGAGAAAACGTTCACGAAACGCTTAACAAAAAGTGTGTTTTTCAAGTATTTTTATTAACATTTTTTCAGCCAACAAAATGCCTGCCTTCCGGCAAGTAGGAGAGAAGCAACTTCCTAACCCTGTACTGTGTATGGCATGGTCTCCAAAGAGGGATCTGATTGCTCTGGCCAACACAACTGGAGAGGTAATATTAAAACAATTATTCTGAAACACAGCTCAGTATTCTGTGTGTGTGTGTGTGTGTGTGTGTGTGTGTGTGTGTGTGTGTGTGTGTGTGTGTGTGTGTGTGTGTGCTTTTTAATACTTTAAATACTTGGCTTATGTTTTTCCATAGTTGCTGCTTCACCGCTTAGCTGGTTTCCAGCGTGTATGGACCCTACCACCCAGTGAGTATACTGGCAAGGAGATCACAGCGATTGCCTGGAGACCAGATGGCAAAAGTAAGGAGTGACTGTGCGCATCTTTTGCTTTTTTTAGTCATGTGTTTGATGGAATCATGATGTAATATATCCTCTCTTCAGTTTTGGCATTCAGTCTTGGAGACACTAAGCAGGTAGTCCTGTGTGATGTTGAGAAAGCAGAGATCCTCCATGTGTTTCCTATGCAAAGTCCTGTAACTTGCATGCACTGGATGGAGGTGATTGAGGAGAGCAGGTATGCATCGATTGAGGCTCAGGAACCAAGCCAATGGTGTGGAGGGTGTGTAGAATAATGAGAGTGATTGTTTTGATGTGTTTCAGTGCCCTCAGCTCTTTTTACAACTCTGAGGATGAATCCAAACTCTTTCTTCCCAAACTACCAACTCTCCCCAAGAGGTAACTGCAATATTAATGGCACATGCAATTATAAGAAAACAGCTCCTTGGATGAATTATTAATATTTGTCCAAACTTTTTTTTTCCAGCTATAGTACAACTTCAAAGATCTTCAGGTGGGAAAACATTTTAATAAAATGAAGCTGTTATCCAATGTGTGATTTGATCATTTGTGTAGCAGCTGAGTCTATTTTTCTATCTCTTTCACAGTGAGGAAAAATCTGATGAGATACTTAAACTCCTGGGGGAAGTCCGGTAAATAATCAGTACATGAACAAACAGTTGTATCTCAAATGCACTGTGCTTTGTAAATGATTTCACCACCTTATGTTGTTTCCATGCAGGCTGAACATACTTGTTCTGGGAGGAAATGCAAGCTTTGTGGAGCTTTATGCCTATGGCATGTACAGGATTGCCACGCTGGAAGGGGTAAGGCTTTTTTTGCTTGTTTGCTTGTAAATCTACTTTACACTGATGACATTTTCATTAAGTGGCTTCCAAGTGAAGGAAGACCAAAGGACGCTTTTCAAAATGTCTTTTTATTTTGAGTTTAATAAGAATGTTATGATATCAGCAATAATCAGATATTGTGACAGCCCTAAATGATATAGATGTAGAGCTGTGCTAAGCATGCTAATCTGGTAAAAGCTATGAGTACATCAGATGGAGTTTATTTTTTTGTTCATGATCCAGTTCTGATAAAGTGAGCAGGCCTGTGAGTTGCTTTTGATATTCTGCCTTGCCAAAGAAAATCCAGAAGAGAAACTGTAGATCTGAAGGACTGTTACACCCCCTAAATGTAAGCGTATGTTATTGCAGCACCAGCAGCTCATATAATGTAAACATCAGCTGTGTGAGAAATGTAACGAAACAGAAAGAAATGTACTATTAAGCCTATATGCAATGCAGAAAATTGGTTTTGCCACATTATTAGCACAAGAGCTCCAAAGTGGTATGGATAGAGGTAAACCCTGTCTTCCTCACTGGGCAGGTATTAGCCACCAGAATTAACAATTTAACGTCAGACTTCATGTCAAAAGCAAACTATTTTAGGACCGCTTCCCTTTAAGCCAACTTTCTACTGATTAGTGGACACTCATAAACAGACAGTGTGAACTATGCTCACAGCTCAGAACCAGGGCTTTGTGTCTGGGGTGACCATATTTCAGACATTGCCTCTCTTTGACATCATAAAGAGCCACAAATAAAAAGAAGACTGTCTGAAATGGACTATTAAAACCATGCTGACCTTATTATTTAAAACTTTGGCCTTATTTAGTATGGGCATCTACCATTACCAGTAGCTATGTGACAGAAAATGAGGGAAAGAATCCCCTATGGTCCACTTTAAATGGTGAAACAATAAATCCCACAAATTACTATCTAAATTGCACAAAAATAATATTGATTAAACTTTTGCTGCTTTTGTTGCCGTAAAAACACCCTGCAGGTTTTGGGAACGTGCCGGAGCCTGAGTCTGTCCAGTGATCTTAAGTCTCTGTCTGTCATCACAGAAGTCAGATCTGCTGACGACAACCCAGAGATCTGCTATGTTCAGGTGAGACGGATTGTTTGACTTCGCTTTTCCATTTTCTGACATCCTCTCTGCTTTTACCTAAATTTCTCTTAAACCGATGTCTTCTTCTTCCAGCTGGACACAGGGTTGTTGTCAGATTGCCTGCCTGAGGTCACCAGGATGGCACGCAAGTTCACCCACATCTCCACCCTACTGCAATACCTGCACCTCTCACTTACCTGTATGTGTGAGGCGTGGGAAGACATCCTCATGCAGATGGATCTTCGACTCACTAAGTTTGTGCAGGAAAAGAACACAAGCACTCAAGTTCAAGATGAGTTTCTGGAGCTTCTACTGTGGGGGCAGTCCAGGTGGGACAGAATTACGTTTTTTTTCTGCTGTTTGGATTTGCAATGTCTAGAGTGTCCTGTAGATGGTAGCAACACATCTTGAGCTGCTAACTCAGCGTGTTGTTCTGCAGCAGTTTGAGGTAAATCATGCCAGACTGCTCTCTTTTTTTACTTGCAGCCCTGAACTGCAGGCTCTTCTCATGAACCAGCTGACAGTCAAGGTGAGGCTACAGTCCCTTTTCTTCATGGACTCTTCTGCTAATGTGGCAGCACATAAATGTGTCTTTTCCTATATTAGTTTCTATTCCTATTAGTTAGTAACTTTTTTAGCATTTTAGTAACAAAACTGTGAATGTGTCTCATTATATATACATTAAATGGTCTGAACAACACAAATTTCTGCATTTCAGTTCATATACTGGCATACATAAGTGATACTGGGTAAACTTTCAGTTTACCTCTGTACCTTGCTCCGTCTCAGCTCCAACACTCCTTCAAACAGTTGCTTTTTGCCATAATTTTCCCTCTGTGGACTTTGGACATGGAAAACTTTGAAGGAGCCAAACTTAAATACACTTTCAGTTGTGGTCAGAAGTATACATGGGGATGAATGTCATGGTAATTTTTGACTTTTAATGATTTCTTTGCACTGTTCTTTTTCCAGTGAGGAATGATTGGAAAGCATACGTCTTTAATGACTTAAAAAAAAAACAAAAATCGGGTGTAAAATTTATTTTAGGTTTTCACACAGGGTCAAAATACATACAGACTCACATAGGCATATTCACTTAACTCTTAATAAGTGATGCTGAATATTCTATAATGTATTTTAACTTGAGGTTTATTAACCTCTTCTCAGCTATAACAGATGAAACTGTTATAGCTGCAAAGGATGGGCCGATATCATGTTATGCCCTGTAGGTATGGCCATATGCATGTCAAGGCAGATGAATTAATACTTTTGGCAGTACAGTATAAATAAAATAAAATTTTATTTATATAGTGCTAAATCACAGCAGCAGTCTTCTTGAGGCGCTTAATATTTCTCTGTATACAATACAGGGAAAACCCCCCTATGAGTAAGCACTTGGCGACAGTGGTAAGGAAAAACTCCCGTTTAACAGGAACACTACCTTCCAATTCTTCAGCTTCACCTAAAATCAACAGCTAGATGGTTGAAACTTGGGCAAAGTTGGGTGGTCCAGTAGGACAATGACCCCAAATACACATCAGAACTGGTTTTGAAATGGATAAAGCAGGCTTCTTCTGAAATGGCCTTCCACAAGCTCTGACCTGTGGAAAATCTGTGGACCTGCCAGGAACCCAACCAATTTAAAACGAACTGAACCAATTCTGACAAGAAGAGTTAAATCTCTAAAGTTGAATCTTTCCATTTCAGAAATATCCTTTTACAATGGCCAGCCACTCCCCAACGACTGGTATTATCCAGCCTTGTCCTTATTGTTTGTGTTACTGGGTTACCAGATTTTCTCATCTGGTCTTGCACAAATTTTCTTTTTGGAGTGAAAAATAAATTTCATCCTCCATTAAAAAAAAATTGTCTCCACTGAGCAGATCTGTAGGTGCTGGCACTTGTTTTATACATATTTAACCAATCTGTTTCCATCATTGTAATATTTGCTTCCATCAGATCTTAATGTATCATAGCATGTGTCTTAAGGGATTGCAAGCTGATTCTTGTTTTTTAAAGTTGTTAAAGATGTATGCCGTGTAATTACTCCACCCTGGAAAAAGAACAGTTCAGAGAAATCATTAAAGTCCTAAATTACCATGACATTCATGCCCATGATAAGCGTGTGAGTGCAAGCATCCCGGGGAACATATTGTTTTTCTTGAGAAGCCTGGGTTATTTGTGTATTGTATGCTATCTTGTTTATCTGTTGCACTTTAAATATGTCAATTGTGCATGGCCCCTGCAATGAGCAGTGCCATGTTACTTCCTGGTTAAATAAAGATAAATAAACAAATAAACCTAACACACAGACCTACCTAAACTCAGCTTTGCCATACATTTATGGTAAAGACAGTTTAGATTAAACTCTAGTGTTATTTTAGTTTTTTGCATCCAGCTGTTTCTAGAAGTCTTTCTCCTGAGCTTATAACAAAGCTGAAGTGTCACACAGCAGCAGTGTCTATTCAGAAGTGAAAGAATCATGCATTCTTTTACTTATCTGACACAACTCCCATGGCTTAAATAAATAACAAATCATTCCTAACATGGAGAAGGGATGTAACAGCAAATAACATTGTGTATATCACTGTCTGAGTCACACTCTAAGCACTATAATAAGCTGCCATGCTGTAGCTCATGTCTAATAAGCAAATTAAGTGTGTATCTGTATAGGCTGTGACATCTGTAATTTTTATAATAACCTACTACTGAAACTCTGACATGGTTAGATGTCACTTTCAGTACTCTCACAACTCATAGGATAGGTGTGAGTACTGTGTGCCATTCTCTCAGTGCTGTGAAATTATCCAAATCAAGGCTTCAGGTAAATTATGTAAAAAGGGGGTTTGTGTCCAGTTGGCAGAATACCGTCACCTTAACATATTGATGAAGCCAGCAATGTTTTGTCTCCAATGTCTAAAAACGGCTTAAGAAGCATTAAGGTATACGAGTTTGTGAGAAGTTGAAAATGATGGGTTTTTTTTATTTAAAATTAATTTCTATTACAGGGATTGAAGAAGCTTGGACAGTCCATTGAGTCTTCCTATTCCAGCATCCAGAAGCTAGTAATAAGCCACCTGCAGAGGTATTTTGTCTTTTACTTTTCATCATGGCTGCCCTACCCTTTGACTGGTTGTCATTTTAAATCTGTCGCTCTCTTTTGCTGGCTGCAGTGGCTCAGAGGCTCTGTTATATCACCTCAGTGAGGTGAAAGGAATGGCCCTGTGGAAACAAAAGTTTGAGCCCCTCGGCTTGGATGCAGCAGCTATAGAAGGTGCATTTCAGGACATGCACAATGATTTAAAACAGGTTTTTTATGTCAGTAGTCACATGTGTGTATTTTATTTTATTTTAGGCGCTATCACAGCAGTTGGATCCTTTTCCCTGAAAGCAAATGAACTTCTGCAGTAAGTTCAGGACCGTAATTGAGTAATGCACATGTTTTTTAGAATTAGTGCTTCTGTTTTCAAGTATAATAACTTTTTTTGCCATTTAGGGTGATTGACAAGAGTATGAAAAACTTTAAGGCCTTTTTCCGTTGGCTGTATGTAGGTAAGAAATAAAAAAAAAAAAAAAAATTGTTGATCTTGAAACATTTAAAATAATTATTGTGCATGTATGGTCTTATTTATAGATTTGAAATTACTGTTTATATGCTCACACACTTTTTGCTTTCCCACAGCAATGCTCAGAATGTGTGAGGAGCATGTGCCACCAGAACTCAATAAGGTGAGCTTTATTTTTTTATTTATTAAATGTTTACTAGAAGCAGTTAACAAACCGTTCCTCCTGTTCAATGTATGGTAATCTACATCCCAGCAAATTAATTGCACAAATTGACATAAGGAAAATAATGTTAGAAATAATGTTATTTTGATTTAAGTGTTCATGGGATTATTTTAACATCCATTATTTATCTAAACATGTTGTTTAACTCCTTAGATGACTCAGAAGGACATTGCCTTTGTTGCTGACTTCTTGTCTGAGCATTTTAGTGAGGTGAGCTCAGCATAATATCAGAAACATGCTAATAAGTTTAAAGACTTTTTTAACTTTTTAATTTAATGTGGTTTAACAGAATGAGGAACTCTTCGGTCGTAAAGGGAAGTACTTCAACGTAGAACGAGTTGGACAGGTAAATGGTTTTGTACTGTTTATCTTTAGCTGGTCTTTTTTTGTTTGTTTATTTGTTTGTTTTTAATGGAACTCCTGCTTGACCGCATAGTGGTTTGTCTTTCCTAATAACATTTACAGTACCTGAAGGACGAAGATGAGGACCTTGTGTCTCCACCCAACACAAAGGGGAACCAGTGGTTGAAGTTTTTACAGGACAGCACACACCTGAAAGGTGAATTATCACCTTTGTGCGTTTCGGAGTTGGGTTAAATTCTTTGTTTTGCGTGAAACTACTTAAATGTTGATTGTACTCAAAATACCTGTTAGTTACCTGATTAAATGTTTCATTGGTTTATTTAGGGAGCCCTTTGCTGTTTCCTTCATATCCCCAAAAGTCTTTGCACTTTGTCAAGAGGATGATGGAGAATGTGATTGAGGATTGTCTACAGAAACCCGCAGTAAGTTTTGTGCACTGTAGATTTCTGCAGTCATTCAAAATATAAGGCTGGCTGGCAATGTTGTGTCCTCTCTCCTCTTAATTGTTTTGTTTCTTTGTGTGTAGGAAGTAATTGGAAAGTCGGTAAAACAAGCCATCTTTTTGCCCTTGTACAACGTGCCAGAGAGGTATAATCTTATGTGTAAAATCTGTTGTATTTTAAATATAAGCCATACACTGAGACTAAATTTGTATTTACCTGTTTTTTAGCTCCGAAAACACTCCTCGGCTTTTTGAACTTCCATCTTTGTATGTAAAACACAAACATCATGCAGTTTTTTTTGTTTTTTTTTTATCTGTAAAAGCAAGATGGGGTTTTAATTAATGTTATTCATTTGTCAACCTATAGGTGGAATGACAAAAAGGCCAAAATGCATTATGTTGTGTTTTGCATGCCAGAGATTTCACCCCACAAACTCTACCTGTTACGCAGAGGAACTGACCCAAACAGGTACATTTCTGTAATTCAGTAAGTACTTTTTAGATATTTGCTTTTCATTTCTAACCTCATTTGTTTTATATTTTTGCAGACCTATCCCAAACAGCGTCATGTCGATTAATCTCACCCATCACCTTGACAGTGGGGATGATGGAAATGCTGCAGACCAGTGAGTCACGTTTATGTTGTTCCTTTACTGTATTAACAGATATAAACGCAAAGAAATGTGTTTATGTGAAAGGTGTTTATGCAAGGCCAAAAGATTTTAAGGTGTGTTTTTTTTTTTTTTTTTTGTCAGGTCTCATTATTTTTACAGCTACCTGGATGCTCGTTTTTATGACGATGAAATGCTAACTGTGGTCTTACAAGGATCTGAAGAACTCAACGCCATGCGTGTCCTTGCTCAAATTCCAATTTCTTCCAGCTTAAGCTGCGAGACAGAATTCAACTGGGAGCCAAACCTGAGGTTTGTGTTTACGAATTTTTTTTGATTTATCTTCATTCAATAATTATAAATCTTTTTCTGACATTTAAAAAAAAAATGCAGATACACAGGTACATGACACATACATCATCAACGCAAACACTCTAGGAACACCAGCGAGTCCCATCCAGGTGCAGTCTGTAGGTTGATTACCTTTTTCTTGCATCCCAAATTAGAACTTGAACGGCCCACCTCAAATATAAAACACCCTACTTTTATTTGAAGTAAGGAATAAGTGGATTTGTAATTTTGTTACTGTTTGCTCTACAAAAGTAGTACCAACATTCCTTTTTGAACATTGCCTGGACAGCCTTCCATTGTTTTACTTTTATTAAATCAATTTTTAGATTACATATTTTCGCACACCAAAACTGAAGCACTGAACAAACTTCTTGGTCTATAGCACATAACAAGCCACGATATTATTAAGATAACCCATGAAAATGCTCTAAAAATTACCAACAAGTACACACATAGTGAAGCGGTCCAGTTTCTTGACCAACAAAGCAGAGCTGAGGCATGTGAGACACTGATCAGCTCCTGCTGTTTTTTTGTCAGGACACTTGTCGAAGTTGCCGTACCTGTAACGCCACGAATCTATGAATGACTCATAAACAAAAATTCTCCCCACACCCCGAAAATTGTCCAGTGCTCATAGTTTGATAACCTTGATAATCACATTGCTCTCAAACCATAACCAATGACATAGCATTGCTGGTAGTCACAACCATGTTTGTTGTGTTTATCTAATTAAACCACCAATTTTAAGGTGCTGAACCTCAAAAGTGTATACATATATTATATCACTTATAAACTACTCGCATATTCACAGATTATTAAGTACTATTTTATTAAATCTTTTGGAAGTACTTAAATGTAAATGTAGTTGGTTTATGACATGTTGTAAAGCTAAAACTTTAACTTTAAAGTGCACATCTAACCTTGGCATATATTTACAGGCTGGACCAACAGAGCAGTTCCATCCCGTCCCAAGGCCTGGTGTTGGGTAATCAGTGGCGTGAACTGGAAAACATGAAAGCCCAGTTTGTAGCTGTTAATGGAATCCGCAAAGTGGCCTGTGTGGTAAGAATTCACATTATATTTAGTTTATGTGGATTTTGTTTCACGATATCATGAGTCATCTGCACTGCTGTGTTTTTCAGTGATCAGTCTAATGTCGTTTAAGCCATTTTCAGTCTTCTCATGTTTCTCCGGCAGTGGGGGAATTCCAGTGAATGAATATTGTGGACTGTGGCCAAACATTTACTTTTTCTTTCCCGACAGCTAAGTACCAATCTGAGGCACATACGTGTTTTTGAGATGGATGTGGAAGATGAGGATGAGGAGGGAGCTGACTCACAAAATGCCAGTGCTGATCAGGAAGGACTGGAAGCTACCATGAGCAGCCAGGGACAAGGAGAAGAGGAGAATTTGGAGGCTGAAGGTGGGGCTGGAGAGCAGGAAGAGGGAGAAGGTGTTTTTCAAAAATCTAAGGAGCACCTGGAATCAGAAGAGGCCCTGGATAGCTGAGAAGCTATCTCCAATAAATTAATCTACAGCTTTCTTTTTTGTTACTTACATTTTGCTGTTATTGTTGTAGTTTTTCACAGCATTTGTAAAAAATAAATAAATAAATAAATAAATGAAGATGTAAAAATAAAGCTACATTCTCATGTTTGCTTTATCTTGACTAGTATTTTTTAATGGGGTCCCACAGGAAGGGACCCACAGCGAGCATTATTTAAAAATATTTGGATCCTTTTTTTACATAAAGTTCTCAATTATACCTTAATAATAATACTTTAAAAGTTTTGTCATCAGATTATCAGAAGATGAAGGCTAGTATTTAATTTTACACTGCTATGTAAAAGTCTTTAACAATCCCTTGTAAGACCTTGTAATTTTTTGATTTTTAGTAATTTACAAATTGAGCAAAAGTTCTGAAGGCCTTTTTCTTTGAATGAAAAAGCAGCCAATGTCCAAGCATTTAATCTGTTCCCATTTATTAACTGATACTGTGAAAAAGGCAAAAAAAAAAAAAAAAGACTGTTTATTAACGAGCATAAAATGTAAATTTATCTTGGCATAGTGTGCAGCATGTCCTTAAAAAAATCTGAGGATACTCCATAATTGGAGGGTAACAGAAGCAGCAGGCCTACAAAGCGATCTACATCTGATCAGCAAGTTAATTTTTTTTTTCAGAATTATTAGATATTTGAACTCTGTATCCCAGTAGTTATAAATGTATAAGACTGTACCCAGGCGGTTAGTTGTAAATATGTAGTAAATCACAAATAAACATTCAAAATCCTGCGTTTAGGAGTTCATTCATATGTTACAATGTGGTTTCTGTAGCCAAATTTTCGATCCATATCTATAACGGTGTAGTTATATGTGCACGCGCAAATAGGTGTTGGTTACGTGGTCGCTCCCGATATGGAACGTGGTGACGTGTGTTCTCCGCCGCCTGTTGGTCTTTCACAGTTGGTGACGAGTATTATGAAAATGGCCTCAACCCTACCCGTGAGCACGAATAACCGGAGAAGATGACGACGCTGAGCTTTTCAAGTCGGTTGAACACCAAAGTGTCTTCTTTGAACACCCATATAGCAGTGAAGTAAACAAAAACAAAGGGACTCTCGGCAAAGAAACGCCTAAAAATACCCCTGACCACCGCATATTTTCGTAGGGCTGAGAGGAGCCACTATGGAGGATATCAACTCTAATATCAACGCGGACTTGGAGGTGCGGAAGCTCCAGGACTTGGTGAAGAAACTCGAACAACAAAACGAGCAGCTCCGGAGCAGGTCTACGATGTTGTCTTCGTCCGGACCGATGTCAGGGAACCACAGACCCCTGAGCGCCGGATACGACTCGTCGTCCCTGTCAGCAGGGATGGCAGCCGGTCTGGCCGGCTTCCCTGGGGTGGGGTTCGCTGGAACGGGCGGCTACGGTGGGCTGTTGGAGAACAACCGCTGTTTAAACCCCAGACTTTCTTATGACGGCATCAGTTTCAGGAGGGCGTATGAGGGTGAGGGGGCATCTGCTGCCACCTCTTTATCGAGTATGAACTCATTTTATTCAGACACTAGCAGGGGCTTCACGGATGAAGGGGAAACCTCAATTCTAGATGAAGTGGAAATCTTAGATCTGGAAGACATGGACTGTCTAAACGAAGACGAGGACAGCTGGTGAGTCAAAGCCTTGTCTTGGGAGGTAACTTGCCTGCTCCGCCGTGTTTTTGTCTTCGGGGCTGGGTGACAGCTTTAAATGCCTGGTCACAGCTGCTATACACATTAGCTGCCACCACAAACGCCTGGCATGAACAATCATTTCAGTAGCTTGTCTGAAATCTGAAGTCATCCCCACTGAAGGAGCCTCATTGTGGATTACTGACTGCAGGATGTTGTTTGGCAAGTCATATGGGCGATCCCAAGGCACTTCTGTGACTGTCTGAATATAAAAGACAGGCTTTGTCTTACAGTCGTTGTCAGACCGCTCTCCATTCTTTCCGTGCCTAGAGTTTGTTCATTAGTTTCAGAGATAGGCAATTAAAATCATCAGTTTCTTGGTGTTGTGATGTGACAGATTGCTTGGCTTGTCGTGTCAGTGTTGTACAGTAAAAAAATCAAAGTTGTTTTCCTGCCCAGCAGCCATGTGGGAGAGGTAGCCATGGTTATATTCCTCTTCTGAAATCCCTTTAGCGCAGCAGTTGGCACACAGCTACAAGTGCTCTGCAGCACCAAGTGAGAGATGTGAAATAGGACAGTTATCTCATCAACATGGAGAAATAAACGCTATGGCAGGGTCCTAAAGATGATTACAAGAATTGCATTAACAGGGGTTATAAACATAAACTGTTAATCTTATACACAAGAGAGTGTCTTGTGTATAAGATTAGCATTAGGCAAGAGTTGTAGCAGTTCCCTCAAACCAAGGTGTTGTGCATGTCCTGATGTTTTGTCATTAAAGTGACAAACAAAAAAGGGACAATGTTTTTACCACAGCCCAGATCATTAGATTGTGATTGCATCATGAACAAAAAGCAAGATAAATTAGTCTGATGTATTTCCTGTTACCTCTAAGATCTTTAAATGTACTTTTTGTAATTTCCCCCCAAAAATAGAGACATCAGGGGGTTCGTATTTTAAATTTAGTTGAAATTTGCTTTTTAAATTTTTATATTTCCTGTTTAGATGCACCTATTGCTAATCCACCAGTTGTAATTAGGTCTTTCTAATAGCATTACTCATTTTAAAGCCAGACTTGGAATGCATAAAACTGATATTCACACAAGTAAAAAAAAAAAATTCTATGTTAGGCCATTACAGTTTGACAAGGAATTCATGTTTCTTTGAAAGTAGTTGCCCTTGAAGAGATACCAAATCATACAAGAGGTGGTATTACACTGCAAAAATGTAATCAACGTGAAACATTTTGGATTGTAACATTACAGGCTAAAAATCTTTAAAAAAAAATATGACTTTCACTGTACTCACCAGACACTGACAGCAACACTTTAACATTCACAGTAGAGGAAGATAGAACCAATACAGTATTGTTGTTCTGCTTGTTAACTCCTATGTATTTCAATATCCTTTCCCGCTAGATTGTGCCCATATAATTTAACCAAGCACTGCGCATTTCTGCCCTTAGATGGCTTTAGAAAAGAAGTGCAGCCCGTCAAACTCCAGACTAAATTGGATTTGACTGTTTTTGACTTCCAAGAACATCATTGTTGACTGGATGAAAATATAATGATGGCCCTTTTCTTCAGGAAATGGTTATCTATCTTATTAGGACGGGCTTATATGCATTGCTTCTGCTATGGTAATGATATTGTAGTAGGCAACACGAGGGCGTAACTCTTAATGCATCTTAATGGCAGTTTTTAAAAGCTGCTGCAATCAGGGCATATCATCTGTTTTGAAGTTGAACATGCGCCAAGTGCTTTTACATTTTTAGAACACTCCTAACACAAACACTGTTTCTTCAAGGGAGGATAAACACGAATCCTGTTAATCAGTTTGCATTTTTTGTAATTATTATTTCAGCTAACTCAGCTTTTCCTGTCTTGCTTGCAGCTGCATGCCCATGCCAGCTACTGAGCCCTCGGCATCAGACTACTTTCAGACATTGCTCGCTCATGCCCAGCCAAGCTAGTCTCATTATGCCCTGGCTGTTTGTCCATCCTCTGGATTAGATTGATATCTGGGATTAGCCTATAGTGCCTAGCTTTTGCCAGCTCCTGTCACAGACTCCTGTAATCCCATGAATTAGCATCAGAGTGGATTTAAAAAGGCTGCCTGCTCCTGCAGCACTCGGCCTATCAATAGATGCCCGTTGCGCTCCTGTTTCTGCATGCGCATGACACATATCATTGTTTCAGATGTAGTTTTACATTGCACTGTACCACATGTGAATGGCTGTCATTGTGTTGATAAACAATGACAATGTGCAGTATAAGTATAAGGCCGGTATTTCTCTGCCCTTGCTTTGCCTGTAATGTTTCTGCTTTCATCTTGAAAGGCTTCCTCAATGGCTGCAACATTGCTGACAGCTGCTGACTCAGATTCCTCCTCTGAGTGGAAACTCAACTCTACTCTACTCTTCTCTTCTCTTCTCTTCTCTTCTCTTCTCTTCTCTTCTCTTCTCTTCTCTTCTCTTCTCTTCTCTTCTCTTCTCTTCTCTACATAAACATTTCTATTGCTTTTATAAATGGGGAACACAATTAAATTCAATTTTGATGAGTGAAAACATGTTTAGACTGTTAGAAGTTGAAAGCATATAAATTTTACAGCCACTGAAAGTGCCACAGTCACAATTCATTTGCTCCAATGCACTTTTTGACCTCATCTTAATATGGAAATGAGGCGAGACTGATAGCGCGTCAGCTATCTCAGGTAATGCTGTATGTACTTTAGTGTTATTTCTTTTCCAATGATCTTGTTAGGTTAGCTTATTTATGCATGTTCTATACCTTTGCGATCAAAAGTAACATAAATTTTGTCATTTTTCAGTTCAGCAACTTTATGAAGCCTTAGTTCTCTGTCTATGACTGTATTTCTTGCTGTCAAAATGACATCACAAATGTTATTTGTAAGCAGAAATTATGTCGTGGTAAACAAATGTCATTCTTTACACTCAGTAAAGCTGTAGTTAATTCAGTGTGTCACATGTGTAGAAATGGTAGATGTAGCCACCATGACATCATCCAGCGGTCCTGGACTCTGCATTTTGAAGATTCATTGTTAGTGTTTTGGCTGCTCCTATTTTGGTTTTTGCAGCCAGAAGTTACCATATGTGGAGAGAGGATGCAGCGCTAAGTTATGAGCTAATGCCGTATAGATTTGTTAGCAAGCTGCAAAAACTTGTATGGGTGCAGTGAACAGAAACAGATACCTGGTAACTGGTGCCAGGTGATGGTCTGAAAAAATACCAGAATTTTATTCATCAAAACTGGAGCCTAAACTTCTAAGCACCTAGCAGTCACTGACCAGCTCCAGTTGCCTGTCAACACCTCTCACCCAAAGCAGTCACACACCGCAAAAACCCCCAAACATTTTTGTACCAGGCTATAAATATGGTTTTTAATGCTGCTGAACATTTTAACACTGGAACCTGTGGGAATTGACCAATTAAAGAGCTAAATTTTTAGGCACTTTAACTTAATCTTCTAGCTCTGGAGGTTGCTCGGGTAAAATTATCTGCCTGCAGCATCAACTTTAAAAAATAAAAATAAATCCCACATTTTGTTTTTCGCTGGCTTGTCAGTTTGCATATGAGGTGTCATTGTGTCTCTCTGTTTAGTTTGGTGTGTGCACTTGGTTCTGCAGAGCAACTAGATGTGTGAGTGTGAAGTGATTTTCAGGCCGTATTTTCCCTGCAAGCCTTGAGTTTAACTTGAAGCCATATTAAAAGTGTTTGGCTATTTAAATGAGTACATATGATTAAGTATTGAGATTTATGGTCTTTTCAAAAAATATTTTTTTAAGACTGTTTATTCTTAAAATTTCTTAAAACTCAACACATGCAACATAAATAAAAGGGTATTAACAGGGTATTTACTATATTTTTAGAGTCCCCTTAAATAATTAGCAAGGCTCAAGATTTTAAATATTTATGTCTGAAATAAATTAGCATTAAAAAATTTTTTTTTTTCTTTTTACTAAGAAAACATGAATTCCTTCCTGCCTCTCCACATCATCCACTATAAGGCAGCACTTTGTAATAAAACCAGGTCCAGATTAGCAGCTTGTTATCCTCTCAATCACATTTCCTCTTCAAGCTGTTGACTAACACCATATATGCGGTGTGATAGGAGTGATCTGTCGGTCATTATTAGTAGGGCTGCCACGATTTGTCGACTAGTCACGATTACGTCGACTATCAAAATCGTCGACGACTGATTTAATAGTCGACACGTCGTTTGAAGCTTTGTAAGATCGCAAAAGACGCAGGAATAATAGCAGGATTTAAGAGTGTAATAACGGACTGAAACAGAAGATGGCAGCACTGCATGTACAAGGATGCCAGCTGCCGTTAAACCCCGAAGAAGAAGAAGCAGCTGTGTCCCAGAATTCATAGCGCGGCCCAGCTTAGTTTCCAACAATGGCGGTAGCTAGTTAGTTTTAATATTACTCTTATTATTCTTTCTGGGTCACAAAATAAACGTTTAACATATTTTCAGGCGAGAATGTAGCTGTGTAAACCTCAAATATCGGCTCAGTTTATCAAGACACCGCATATTTTCAAAAGCGCTCCGACGTTTTCGGAGACGTTAGACAAACTCTAATGTTAGATCTATATGACACAGCCTTGTACCCTAATTGTGCCCTGTCACTATCAAGGCCATCTTATTTTGGATTTCAAAGTAAAAGCCCTGTGAATCTTCATTTTTGAACTACTCTTTCAATGACTTAATAATGCTCTTAAAAGCAAAAGTCGTATTTCCAAATACTATTTGAACTTTATATCAACACTTTCCAACCACAGTCTTTTTACAGTGATACCATATCAATATCAAGTCAGTCTGATTTTGCCTTTCATAGTAATGGCCCTTTGAAATTGTCCATAATTGACTTAATCTTCTAACGATTCAAAATGCTCTAAAATGAAAAATTCTTGTTTCCACAGGGTAATTCCACCTTAGATCAACAGTATACAGCCCCACAGTGATACCATATCAATATCAAGTCATTCTGATTATGCCTTCCAAAATAAAAGCCTTTTTAAATTGTCCATAATTGACCTAACTTTCAGTGATTTCAAAATGCTCTAAAATGGAAATTTCCTGTTTCCACAGGGTAATTCCACTTTAGATCAACAGTATACAGCCCCACAGTGATACCATATCAATGTCAAGTCATTCTGATTTTGCCTTCCAAAGTAAAAGCCTTTTCAAATTGTCCACAATTGACCTAACTTTCAGTGATTTCAAAATGCTCTAAAATGGAAATTTCCTGTTTCCACAGGGTAATTCCACCTTAGATCAACAGTATACAGCCCCACAGTGATACCATATCAATATCAAGTCATTCTGATTATGCCTTCCAAAATAAATGCCCTTTCAAATTGAGCATATACGGCCTACTTTTTTGACGATTTCAAAATGTTCTTAAACAGAATTTTGCTGTTTCCACAGGATAATTTCACTTTAGTTCAACAGTATACAACCTCACGATGTTACCATATCAATATCAAGTCATTCTGATTTTGCTTTCAAAAATAAAAGCATTTTCAAACTGCCCATATCTGACTTGATCCTGGAACAATTTCAAAATGCTCTAAAATGGAAAATTCCTGTTTCCACAGGGTAATTCCACCTTAGATCAACAGTATACAGCCCCACAGTGATACCATATCAATATCAAGTCATTCTGATTGTGCCTTCCAAAATAAATGCCCTTTCAAATTGAGCATATATACGACCTAATTTTTTAACGATTTCAAAATGTTCTTAAACAGAATTTTGCTGTTTCCACAGGATAATTTCACTTTAGGTCAACAGTATACAACCTCACGATGTTACCATATCAATATCAAGTCATTCTGATTATGCCTTCCAAAATAAAAGACTTTTCAAATTGCCAAGATACGACCTACTCTTTTAAAGATTTCAAAATGCTCTAAAAGTGAAAATTGCTGTTTCCACAGGATAATTTCACTTTAGGTCAACAGTATACAACCTCACGATGTTACCATATCAATTTCAAGTAATTCTGATTATGCCTTCCAAAATAATGGCCTGTTGAAAATGCCCATAATTTACCTAACTTTCAGTGATTTCAGAATGCTCTAAAAAGGAAGATTTCAGTTTCCACAGGGTAATTCCACTTTAGATGTCATTCTAAATAAAGAAATTACAAAACAGCTTGCAAACCAACCATGACATCTTTCCACAGACTTAAAATATAAACGTACTATCAATTACAACCTAGTGGCAATTTCAGCTTCCTTTTACATCATCTTTATGATTCAATTCTGTCATAATCAATTGAGTCTGATTTTGCTTTTCAAAATGAAAACCCAATATGTGTTGAAACAGCAATTTTCATTTTTAAAACATTCTGAAATAATTGAAAGAGTATATCACATATGGACAAATTCGACGGGCCATTAATTTGAAAGGCGAAATCAGACCAACATGAAATTTACATGGTTTTACTGTCGGGTTGGATACTGTTGATCTAAAGTGGAATTATCCTGTGGAAACAGCATCTTTCAATTTAAGAGCATTTTGAAATCGTTAAACGAGTAGGTCGTCTACGGACAATTTGAAAATACTTTTATTTTGGAAGGCAAAATCAGAGTGACTTGATCTTAACATCGTATCTCTGTGGGGTTGTATACTGTTGATTTAAAGTGAAATTATTCTGTGGAAACAGAAAATTTCCTTTTTAGAGCATTCCGAAATCACTGAAAGTTAGGTAAGTTATTGGCATTTTCAACAGGCCATTATTTTGGAAGGCAAAATCAGAATGACTTGAAATTGAAGTAGTACCATGGTGTGGATGTACACTTTTGATCTAACATGGATTCATTCTGTGGAAAGAGCAAGTTTCATTTTTAGAGCGTTCTGAATTCTTTAAAAGAGTAGGTCGTATATCGGCAATTTGAAAAGTCTTTTATTTTGGAAGGCATAATCAGAATGACTTGATATTGATATGGTAACATCGTGAGGTTGTATACTGTTGACCTAAAGTGAAATTATCCTGTGGAAACAGCAAAATTCTTTTTAAGAACATTTTGAAATCGTTAAAAAATTAGGTCGTATATATGCTCAATTTGAAAGGGCATTTATTTTGGAAGGCAGAATCAGAATGACTTGATATTGATATGGTATCACTGTGGGGCTGTATACTGTTGATCTAAGGTGGAATTACCCTGTGGAAACAGGAATTTTCCATTTTAGAGCATTTTGAAATTGTTCCAGGCTCAAGTCAGATATGGGCAGTTTGAAAATGCTTTTATTTTTGAAAGCAAAATCAGAATGACTTGATATTGATATGGTAACATCGTGAGGTTGTATACTGTTGAACTAAAGTGAAATTATCCTGTGGAAACAGCAAAATTCTGTTTAAGAACATTTTGAAATCGTCAAAAAAGTAGGCCGTATATGCTCAATTTGAAAGGGCATTTATTTTGGAAGGCATAATCAGAATGACTTGATATTGATATGGTATCACTGTGGGGCTGTATACTGTTGATCTAAGGTGGAATTACCCTGTGGAAACAGGAAATTTCCATTTTAGAGCATTTTGAAATCACTGAAAGTTAGGTCAATTGTGGACAATTTGAAAAGGCTTTTACTTTGGAAGGCAAAATCAGAATGACTTGACATTGATATGGTATCACTGTGGGGCTGTATACTGTTGATCTAAAGTGGAATTACCCTGTGGAAACAGGAAATTTCCATTTTAGAGCATTTTGAAATCACTGAAAGTTAGGTCAATTATGGACAATTTAAAAAGGCTTTTATTTTGGAAGGCATAATCAGAATGACTTGATATTGATATGGTATCACTGTGGGGCTGTATACTGTTGATCTAAGGTGGAATTACCCTGTGGAAACAAGAATTTTCCTTTTTAGAGCATTTTGAAATCACTGAAAGTTAGGTCAATTATGGACAATTTGAAAAGGCTTTTATTTTTGAGAGCAAAATCAGAATGACTTGATATTGATATGGTATCACTGTGGGGCTGTATACTGTTGAGCTAAAGTGGAATTACCCTGTGGAAACAGGAATGTGCCACTTTAGAGCATTTTGAAATTGTTCCAGGAGCAACTCAGATATGGGCAGTTTGAAAATGCTTTTATTTTTTAAAGCAATATCAGAATGTCTTGATATTGATATGGTAACATCGTGAGGTTGTATACTGTTGATCTGGAGTGGAATTACCCTGTGGAAACAGGAAATTTCCATTTTAAAACATTTTGAAATCACTGAAAGTTAGGTCAATTATGGACAATTTAAAAAGGCTTTTATTTTGGAAGGCATAATCAGAATGACTTGATATTGATATGGTATCACTGTGGGGCTGTATACTGTTGATCTAAGGTGGAATTACCCTGTGGAAACAAGAATTTTTCATTTTAGAGCATTTTGAATCGTTAGAAGATTAAGTCAATTATGGACAATTTCAAAGGGCCATTACTATGAAAGGCAAAATCAGACTGACTTGATATTGATATGGTATCACTGTAAAAAGACTGTGGTTGGAAAGTGTTGATATAAAGTTCAAATAGTATTTGGAAATACGACTTTTGCTTTTAAGAGCATTATTAAGTCATTGAAAGAGTAGTTCAAAAATGAAGATTCACAGGGCTTTTACTTTGAAATCCAAAATAAGATGGCCTTGATAGTGACAGGGCACAATTAGGGTACAAGGCTGTGTCATATAGATCTAACATTAGAGTTTGTAAAAAAAAAAAGCCTAAATTATATGTTATTATGTTCTTAACATATCTGTTAATTCACTCGAAGTTGGCTTTTATTTTGAAATCCGGTTTCCACATCCATTCCCGTAATACTTTGAATACACAGGGAACGTAAAACAAACTGGAGGCTGGCTTGACTGCAAGTCTCGAATTGGAGGCTGGCTTGACACAAGTTGATTATCAGAAGTGTGAGATGCTGGAGAATATACTCTGGTGTCCTGTTATATTTTAGATAGCAAGGAGTTTATTAAACTTTACCAAAACAATCTGCAAATTTCATTAAAATTTAATAAACTATCATCTTGTCTTTATTTTTAGTTAGCACCTTAAAAGCTTAAAGCTGTAAGCTAATGATCGTTATATAAGAGCAGATGCTGCTGGTGCAATAAGCTGTAGTTTTACGTCCAGTGGATGATGATCTGATTAGTCGACTAATCGCATAAATAATCGGTGACTAGTCGACTATCAAAATAATCGTTTGTGGCAGCCCTAATTATTAGAGGAGAAAAATAACTTGCTGTTGATATTTTTTTAGGTTATATGAGGCAAAGCTGAACAGTCCCCTGCAAAAAGCCTTGAGTCCTATCGTGTGGTGCCGCCAAGCTCTGGACAATCCGAGTCCCGAGATGGAATCAGCCAAGCGCTCCCTCATACACAGACTGGACCTCACCATGTCAGGTAAACAGGAGCATAGTTGTAATTGTTTCAACTGTAATTACAATACCGATGCACTTAATTTATCTTTCTTTTGGTATGTTAGAGGTCAGAAACAAATAACATGTGTACCAAACTATGTTATCTGGATCATTGGGCTTCTCTATTAGTGTCTGTATTGAGATATGTTCATTTGTGTTCACAATTGTCTGGCTGGCCTTCGAACAAACATGATGCATTTGAGCTGAAGAGAACCAAAATCACTGAACCAGCTCTCCTGCTAGTGCTTGCATCTGTTTTTTGGGTTGCTGATTTATGTTAAAATAGGGATGGGAATCAAGAACCGGTTCTTGTAGAGAACCAGTTCCCGGTAGTTCAGTTCCTTGGAATTGTTACTATGCCTGTTTATTGATGCCGCTTATTGGTTTCACTTACACTTGTGCTACAATTAGCTGATTTCAGTTCATGTGTTGGAAGAGGAAGGTAGTAACTCAGTCTGTGCTCCACAAGGTTCGTATGGATATTTAAGAAAAGTGTTCTGTGTAACATTTGTAATATATTACTTTTGTTTGTATAATGACCCCAACACTGGTCACATCAAAAAGGGGAAATGCATCCAACATTCAGAAACATTTGACCACACAGCATGCAATTAATTTGCATGAATGTAATGTCTTTGATGTACTGCTTAGCGATGGTGGTGACTCTCAAAGCCGTTAATGAAAACTCAAAGAGAAACAATAAGGAGTAAAATCGATGTGATATCGATAACGAAATCAGAATCATTAAATTCTTATCAATTCCCATCCCTAGTTAAGAGGCTGTTATACTTTCAGCCTGTTTGGATCCATATGTTTTGCTATTAAAGGGTGAACGCGAGGCTCTGATAGTAGGGTAGTTGATATCCACATGCCCTCTGGTTTTGGCACTTGAGGATGTGCATGCAGACAGCTGTGGACACTGCAGCTGTGTAGTCCTTTTTATATTTTCTTTTCAAGACTGCTCAGAGTCTGCAAGAAGGGCGTATATGTAGTTGGCGCATTGTAGTATAGTGCCTCGATTGGAATAAAGGCACACTGTGGTCCACACGGAGCCTTGCATTCACAGTCTCTTGACAAAATTTACACCAGTAGGAGTCTGCCTTTCATGTGGATATCTGCTCGGCTGTTGAAGTCTTCAGCTGCCCTGGTCCACTAGTGAGCATAATGACCTGGCTGTGCCTTATGTGTATGTCATTTCTTATATGTACTCCTAAACTATGGGTATTACAACTTAAGGAAAAGAAAATTGCTATATTGTCATTTGTATAGGAATCAAAGAAGTTGAAATGGATTTGATTTCTGCAGAATATCTCATTTCCAACTATCAAAGGATCTTCCTTTCAGTCAGAAAATAGTAATAATAAATCACTGCAATGCTGGTAAAGACCAACTTGCTCGCACACTTGTGTCTCCAACGAGGTTACAAAAATAAAGAAGTGCATGATTAACCAAAACAACACCAAAGTGTACTGCACAGTAGCAGTTGTGTCCTCACTTTTGGATTTGGTTGCAAGGGTGACAGTGCCGAGCATACACTGCTAAATGATCTAGATTTATATCATTTGGTCGGAGTGAAAATTCTTCTTCTTTTTCTGTTTAAAAACAACGGGGTTATTATTTTCTGCTTATTTTTCTGGCAGATTGTATGAGGAGCTGTTGTGCCCTGGGACCTGCAAAATATTTATTATTTTGTGTCACGTGATAGTGCCTAATTGCTTACTTATTTATATTTACATCTGTGATTTTTTTTTTTGTATTCTTATTTTGCTGCTTTTGCAGCACTTTCTTCTCAAACAGCAGCACCGACAAACCTAAACTGATCCATACTGAATGGCCTGAGCTAACCAGCGGACCTATCAGTCTCTGGTCCCTGAGTGTATGGATTCAATGAATGAACTGCAGACACACTCAGTTTACATACATAAAGTCAGATTTTTTTCATGTTGGGGTTTAAATCATTTAGTTGTGTATGAGAGTACGTAAAATAAGGAAAGATAGACTTATTGTCATAACTATACATGGAGCAATCGTGCTGACGTTTGCAGTCACTCTCGAAAAGCCCCTTCTTATAGTGAGAAGAACCTGAAAAAAGCAACTTTATATCACCCAGAGTTACCTAATTTCTTATGCCTGTAGAGTTTTTGATTTCACTAATTATATTTAACCTTTCAGTGAGGAGAACAGGGCTCCGTTCCTGAAAGTTAAACTAAGAGGCGAGTCATTTCCATTTTGACTGTGGTATGCTCATGTGATAGTTGGATCACGTTGAGCAACAGTCCAGTGAAGGTTGTCACTGGGGTCAGTGGGATTCTTTCAGCTGTTGTGAAAGAAACACCTGGTCACACATTTCTTCCCTCATCTGGGGATAGGGAAACTTGTTTATATGAATATTGTTGCATGGAGTAGTTATGTGTTGGACTGTCTTCTTAAGTAATGATAAATCAGATCAGAGTGAGGCTTGTATAATATAGCTTATTGCTCTTTATTGGCTGTTTATACCAGCTACTATGGGCTGGACTATGTGACCTTTTGTTGAACATTGCTCTTAGCCTTACCTCACCTTCCCTTGAGAAACCTCTTGCCTTACCAAACTAGTTGCTAATTATGGCCAATTCTGCTAACATTTCTCTTAATAATACTCACTGAATGGCTCAATTGTGGAATCTTCTTATACTCCTAAAAACTCATCTTTGGGAGCACAGTGATTTACTGCAGTACGTTAGGAGAGAATTGACCTCACTTTTGTATTTAAGTCATTAAATTCACACAATCTGTTAAATCCATGAAACCTTAATATGGAAGTTTGTTATCTTACTGTCCATTTGTCCGCCCCCATTGTTCCACTACTGGAGTCTGACCCACAGTTTGAGAAACACTGATTTAGGGAGTGGTGCTTACTTGTGGTGATATCATCGATGTAGGTGTGGCACGATAACGTCATCCTAAAAATACCCCCCTTGTCGCTAATAGCATCTGCCCCACCTCATTCATTCCTCAGATGGCACTGGTGGAAAGTGAAAGTGCACTATGGGGAGGCTTATGATTCACTGAGTAAAGTGGTTAAGACATTCAGATCTAATGAATTAAACACCAACATTGTGATTTTTAATAAAATATTTAGAAATTTTTCAAAGAAGACTTATAAGGTTACATAGTATCTCAGTGTCTGACCCAGACTCTCTATTAAAGCGAGGATCAGCATCAAGCAGTCAGTGTACATGCATTTACTTTCTACATCTCATCTTTTTACTTCTGCGAAAACTTAAATAACTTGATGAATTAGGAAGTCAGGTTGTATATCATCTGAGGGGAAACTGCTTATCCGCTCAGTGAACACTTTCCTGATTAGTTTATTGGCTCAGTCTCTAGTTGCTGGTTTTATTGAATGCAATGTAATGGTCATTTTCTAAACTGCGATCTTAGTTTTCAAAGAACGAAGTTTATGATGGCAAATTTGCTCAGCTTTACAACATGGATATGTTCAAATTTGATTTAGATTGTTGTAATCGAAAAATTCTTCACAGCGAAGTCAAAGTGAGAGTTAAATAATACCATTAAAACGTCTAATGCAGCTGTTGGTTGCAGTCAGCATCTGTCTTTTTGGGAAGACTGCACTGGAGTCTTTGGTTAAACTCCCATAATCCTTCTCTCTGCATAGCCAGAGAGCTACGCAAACACAGGACCATGAATTTGGCTTTAAGCGCTACATTCTGAAAGCATTTGTGTCTGTGAGAGTCACCAGACAGGGCTTTATAGCTCCGGGCTGAATTATTTTTCATACCCAACCTCTAGCAGGAGCATGGAAATGCTGTTGCTATGGAATCGCCAAATAAACTCTTCACTTGCGGCAGATTGTTACCAAAAGTGTGTGAAGATTTCACATCTGTCTAAGCATTGTGCCATCTTCTGGAATAAGTGCATATTCAGATATTTTAAACATGACCTTCTGTGTGAGGAGTGACCCAAGCCTTTTGTATGCGCACACCCTGTTAAAATCTTCTCCACAGATGACGTGTCTCAGTTATATAACTAACAACAGGGAGGAAACTCCTGGGAGACATCTCCTTGAGTTGACTATACTAGTCAGACAGCACAACTTTATTCATACCAGACAGTTCAGATATGCAGTGGAACCACTTTGTTATTAGTGCTGTACAATTATACAAAGCTCATTTCCTTTGCACTGCTTTGACAGCTGTTCCACAGAGTACGTAAAAGACCCAAGAGGTCCCAACCACAGTCACATGGCTGACCTGCCCTGTTTTCAGCTCTGACTTTTGCACAGTTGTTGCACCTCCTTCTTGCATCTCTCTGCCAGTTTTATCCACTTTCTTCTCTGGTGTATTTATCTCTAGCATACAATAGTTTTTCTATTTGCTTGTCTCTTGGATGTGCTTACAGCTCCGTGCTGCTGCTTTAACCCATTCATTCTTTTATTTTATTTTTGTATCAAATGGCCTCAATGAAAGGTTGGTCTTCTCTTTCCCTCCCCCTTTAAGGCCTTAAGCAGTCTGTTGTGTGCCGCCTCATTTAGTTTTATTTTTGCCTGTGGAAACTGGCCTGAAGTTTCCACAGACTGGCGCAGCACAATTTCATATCACAGTAAATGGAAATGACATCAGTCACAGTGGGCAGAAAGAACATTTCCTTTTCTTTCTACTGACTTGTTTCAGTACACGAGGGTGTCAAGGACACTCTATTTTTATTGGTCCCTGTGCTACTGATCCCATCAGATTGGTCTCATTCTACTGAAAGTGTGTTGCTAGGGTTGCTGTGATAGGCCAGGTCACCTAACCACATCTAAATCCTCTGAAACCTGAATTGGCCCTTTGAGCTGTAGCACCATTGTGATTTTAGCTTAGACCCAATACAGACTAAAGTATGCCAAGCTCTTCTGCTGTGTTGTACACAAACAGGCAGAATTATTTTTAAAAGTTGATGATCAATTTAAATGAAAAGTTTACCAGGTGTGGGGCTTAGCCTGACTTAGAAGTGATATTGAAAGAATGACTTCTTTCCCATTATGAGATAGAATTGGACATTTCAAGCATATTGTAAAATAACAGACTGTGGATCCTGATATCCTTCTAAAATCAAGTTATGATACTTACAGAAACTAAAAGTCGATATGAAAAAACATTAATAAAAATAAAAATTACACAGAAAGTAATTAGAACTATATGGTGTACTTAGTTTTAATTCTTAAATTTAATCAAATTTGCCAGCAGAAACAGTTTGAGGAGGCTTTGATGTTTACTGAAATTGGGATGTCTGTGTAACCGTTACCTTGAAAATACACCAGCTCCAACATAGCCATCAGAACTATTTGCACCCACTCAGGACAGTGTTTGCAGTTCTGCCAAATGACCCACAGTGCATTTCAAAAGCTCGAAATGTAGCCTGGTCTATTTTTAACGGAAGCCACATCAAGTTGCACAGCGCAGAAGAGGAGCACAGGAAGTCGGATACAGGATTGGTACAGAAAATTTAGTCTTTTATTTTCAAAATAAAAGACAGTTTATAGGCTAAACATTCAGCTTCTAAAACAGTGAGATCTGAAGCTCTGTGAAGGACAGAACGAGACCTCATCTGAGATACGATGTCACACTCGTGGTCAAATAAATTTCCCCTTGTGGGACTAATAAAGGTATATCAATATCAAGTGTGGTATAGTGAACCTCTTGAATTTTGTCTTTTTCAAATATGTATCCATATTTAAAGTCTAAAAAAATACTAAAAGTAATACTAAAAGTATTTTCAAAAATACTGGGGCGATTGTGGCTCAAGAGTTGGGAGTTCGCCTTGTAATTGGAAGGTTGCCGGTTCGAGCCCCGGCTTGGACAATCTCGGTCATTGTGTCCTTGGGCAAGACACTTCACCCGTTGCCTACTGGTGGTGGTCAGAGGGCCCGGTGGCGCCAGTGTTCGGCAGCCTCGCCTCTGTCAGTGCGCCCCAGGGTGGCTGTGGCTACAATGTAGCTTGCCATCACCAGTGTGTGAATGGGTGGATGACTGGATATGTAAAGCGCTTTGGGGTCTTAGGGACTAAGTAAAGCGCTATATAAATCCAGGCCAAAACAAAATCAAAGTTAGATATAGGAGCAGAACCATTCTGGAAACTGAATTTGAGCTCAAAACAATGTTATATATATTTTAAAAATATATATTTTAAAAAATCCAAAACAAACACTTGCAGCACTGTTCTGGATCCAGTGACCACTGTTTATGATTTTACTGTATGCAGTCACAGAAATATGCTGTTATATCAACTTTCTTGTGATGTAAACACAGTGGAGCTTTACAGAACATGCAGCTTAGTATTTACTCTTTCATTTACCACTTCACCAGGTGAACTCTTTAAATCTGTTGACCTCATTGTTCTTTTCTGGAAAACAAAGAGTCTTTTGGTTAAGTGAGTGCAGCATTTCTGACTAAACACGTTCCAACGTTGTTGGCATTCCACAGGATCTGATCCATGTGGATTGCAGCAGAGGAGACATGATGGCGTTTTCTAAATAATGCAGGAGGACAGAGTGCAGAGCACGAGGTGGAACAGGAGAAAGTGAAAGGAGCGATGTGGAAAGAGCAGAGAGTTGATCTTAAAAGGCTGCCTCACCACCGAGCAATGTAAACACATCCAGTAAGAGAGATTAAAACAGAGTGATGATGGGTAAATTAACAAACTCGAGAGATGTTAACCATCTAAACCAATCAGAGTATCACTGTGACAGAGTGTCCAGAGTCTGATATCATAATTCAGACCAGCGACTTTGGACTGTAGCCTGTGACCGCTGCTTTGCTGAGTTTAACAGAGAATTGTATTGTGCTCTGTGCGTATATGGACTGAATGGTTTGCATTGTTAAGCGTTTGTCCCAGCTAATGATGTAGGAAGTCTCCATCAGGCCCACACTCAGCATACATTATAAGAGACTCAATCAGATTGAAAAGCTCTGCAATGTGCAGGCATAGATGTGCTGGCTCCGAGCAGACACTCCTGATGTTCATAGTCAAATGCTCAGAAGGCCAACAAGCTTCGTCAGGGCTTTTAAGGGGTTACAGCGTATAGATGGTGAATGAGCAGATTAAACAATGAACGACAAGTTTTGATCCCAAATTTCTATGAGTTGGATTTTAGACTTTCTCTAAACTTTCATTTCTCTAAAAGTTGTGATTCTTGGTAGAAACTATAAGATTGATAGCTGCAAGTTTGTTTTTATACGCAGGTAATTTATGAAGTTGAGGAAACAAAAATCCCCCTTCAGCAGGTATGCGGGGATGTTTATGTGATCGATGGTGATGAATATTTTTTGTTTTGTTGTTTTTTATTCTCTCTTTAGCATAAAAAAACAAATATTTTTTATTATAGTCTTTCAGCAATTCTTCATCTTTGAACATTCAGCCAACACAAACTTTATATTGCACAACAGAAAGGAATTTGCCACTGACCTGGTGGTCGCCTCCTCATTTGTTGAAAGGTTCAAAAGCAGTCAACAAGGCTGATGTTGGCCATGACCGTGTTTGGTTGACAGGTATTGTAGGATGAAGTGCAGATTTTATGATATCCTTTGAATGACAGAACCATTACTGAAGAACAGGCTGACTCAACTACCTCAAAACATTGAGACTGGACTGACTAATCAACACAAACACTGGACTTTTTGCACTAACTTCTTTACTTCCTAATTTTTGCTGCTACACTAAGGAATGTTTACTGTTCCTCCACTACCTCAACTCATCATCACAAAACCTTATTATTATGTTACGTTGTGTTTTTTTTGTCACACTGTCACTTTGTTGCTCTTGTTTGCACATTTGCACATGCACTTTGTTGTAAGAAGTCTTCCTTAGATAGTTAGTTTTTGTTAATTTATGTTGTAATTTATGTTAGGTCAGTCTGTCTTGTCTCTGCTAGCCAGCTAACTAGGCCTCTTAGTTAGCTAGTTTAGTGTTTTCTGTTAATTTATGTTGTAAATTTATGTTGCATGTAGCACCTTGGTCCTGGAGGAACGTTGTTTCGCTTCACTGTGTACTAACTGTATATGGTTGAAGTGACAATAAAGCCAACTTGACTTGACTAACTGGTCCCAGTTAAGAGAATATTATGGATTATTCATTGAGAACAGTCTTTCTTTTTCACCTATTAATGTAGTATACTTACCAGAAGAAATAGTGGTAAAATATGTTAAAAATAAGAAATCATATCACCTCAATAGAGTGATGAAATTGCTCAGGACACACATATTAATACTATTAGTTGTCCAGGACAAATATACAAGTACCTAATATAGTGAAAGTCTATTAGTTTGGTGCGTTTGCTGTATTTCTCTGTCACATTTTCTTAGTGGTCAACTTTTAAAACAATAAAAACAACAAAACTAAATAGTTTAGTGGGTAATATTTGCCAGGTTCTAAATCTGCTTGTGCAAGGTATCTAAAACATTTATTTGCTGACTTGTATAGATAATATAATAAAATGTCAAAATGAAAATAAAGGAACTGATGAAAAAATAATTAATTGCAAGTAAATGTAATATATGATATAATTCTGTATTTTGATTTAACACCTCTACTTTCCCGCTTGAAAGTTTAATAGATTAGTGAATGAGAGGACGTGAAACTGCTTAACAACTCCACCACATGTAGACAGCATGGATTTTGCAACATGAAAACTTTATTGACAAGTCTTTCTGAGTCTCTCATGTGATGCTGTCTGACATTGTAGTTCTGCTTTTTGCCTCTACAGCCAACAAGCGCCGGAGCTTGTATGGAAGTCCGTACAACCAGCAGAGTTATGGAAGTCCTTATAGCACAAATGCAGCCAACAGCCCTTACAGCAGTGGCTTCAACTCCCCCTCCTCAACCCCAAGCAGAGTGCCCATCGTGCGACAGCAACTAATGCCCAGTAACGCAAGTATGGGTCTCTCTATAGTTCACTGTCTGTTTCAGGATATCTGTTTAGTTTATCTCTAAAACATTCACATATGATTTCTGCACCAGTTCATCAGAGAAACTCTGCAGCAGAGAGGAATCCTCCTGCAGTTAGTCCGCAGTCATCGGTGGACAGCGAGCTGAGCACGTCAGAAATGGATGAGGACTCAGTGGGATCCTCAACGACCTATAAACTCAATGATGTCACTGATGTCCAGATATTGGCACGCATGCAGGAAGAGAGTATGTATCCGTCATCCACAGCTTTATTCTTCAATTTTTTGCAATTACATTTTTTTTTGCACCACACCTTTTTTGCCAACAGGCTTGAGACAGGAATATGCTGCAACAGCATCCAGACGGAGCTCGGGTTCATCCTGCCACTCCCTGCGGCGCAGCACCTTCAGTGACCAGGAGCTAGATGCTCATAGTCTGGAGGACGACGAGGAGGCGGTGCACCCGGCCTTTCACCTGCCCTCCAACCGTTTCAGCCCCTCCCCTCGCCACTCTCCCCGTGCATCCCCGAGAAACTCTCCCCGCTCGCGCTCACCTGCTCGTTCCATCGACTATAGCCACAGCCGGGGTTCTCCTCAGCCCATCATCAGCCGCCTGCAGCAGCCTCGTCACTCGCTGCAGAGCCACGGGCATGACCTTCAGACTAATGTGGTGAAAAATGAAGGTAAGCAGTGGACATGAACAAGTTGCATGTTTCAGTTACTCCAGTGTTTCACACATTAGGTCTTATTTTCATCACAAGTAATGTGTTTATTATCAGATGTATAATCAGATGGATTTTAAAGTCAGAGAGCAGCAAGGAAGCTGGGGATGGTTGTCCTTACTTTGTGATCTCAGTGAGATGGAGGTTTAGAACGACTGCTGTCACCAGAGGCACCAGTCAGTGGACACTGGACAAAAAATTCAAACAGCTGTTTATCAAAGACCGCCACTGCAGCGACTTGGCCAACAAGCCAGCCAAATAAAGACTGACTTTTCAGACCTAAATGTAGCTAAAAAAAAATGAGGCAAACTCAGAAGTGCCCAAAACATGGGTTCCTTTTAGCTGACCCGCAGCCTACTTGCGCTGTAAAAATTAAATACTATTGTCTCAGTAGCTAGTTTCAAGGGTTTTCACTAGCTACTTGTCTGTAACAGTCGTTAGCCAGTGAGCATATCAATGAGTTTGGCATTTGGGATCCATGTTTTACTCGTTACCCCTGGTTTCAACACACCAAAATACCAGCATCCATTATTTTATATGCAGTCTATGGGAAAAAATAACAAGAGACAGAAAGGGTAAGGGTGATTGTCCATAACTTACCGTATTTCCCGGACTACAAAGCGCACCTGAATATTAGCCGCACAAGCTAAAATCAGGGTAAAATCCTGTTTTGTACATACATTAGCCGCACCTGACTAAAAGCCGCAGGTGTTTCAATGTTGACTTATCATATGTAAGAGAATATGCACAAAGGGAATTGTCAGGAAAGAGATGGCTGTTTGGAGACACACCCCTTTTATTAATATTTTGAAAAACAAGTTATGGGTACATATTTGCACATGTAGTACATAACAGTAACCTACAGCACACCAGAAAATAGATTCGGACTACCTTTTAGGCTCAGGTGCAGTGACACGGCTTTAACAAGAAGAAAAGTCAGTCATTCACCATCTTTCTCTTCTTCCTGCGCTCTAAAACCACCAAAGTCCTCTTCTCCAATGTCGGAAACGAACAGGCTCAGGATGGCTTCGTCATCCACTCTCCGCTTCTCTCCTTCGTTGTCACTTTCAAAACCAAAGAAATCCTCGTTGTCAGTGTCAGAGTCGAACACCCTCAGAAGGGCCGTGGCGGTGTCCTCCTCTCCATCATGCAGCAGTCCAGCCCTTCAAAATCCGTTGGTGATCGTGGATGTTTTCGCACTTTTCCACGCTGTCAGAATCCACCGGTGGAGTTGGGCATAACTTGCTTTTCGCAAGTTTATCGCCGCTCGTCATCCACGCCTCCCGCTGAATGCGTAGGGCTACCTTGAAGTTTGTTTTTCGCGCTACTTCGTACGGCACTACGTTGCCTGGCAGACGGACATGTGACTAACATACCACTCTTGAACCCTGATCCTTCCGCCAGGCAACGTAGTGCCGTACAACAGTGGAACAAACAAAACAAATCGTCTTACGATATGACAAAAATCATGGACAATCCATAGAAAAGCCGCACCTGACTAAAAGCCGCAGGGTTCAAAGCTTGTGCAAAAAGTAGCGGCTTATAGCCCGACAATTACGGTAATCACATGGATAAGTATGTTACCAAATATGCTTAAACTAATACATGTAGGAGTACACCGGCGAGTAAAAGTTTATCTGTGCGAAACAGTGATTTGAGTTGACGCTGACTTTGATTCTGGCCTGTGCCACTGTTGTAGAAAAACTGCGCCGAAGTCTTCCTAATCTTACACGCACCTCGGTGGCCGCGGCAGTTCAGGCTCCAGAGCCCGTGAAGAACAGTCGCAGCTGTGAGTCCAACCTGCAAGTGCCAAACGGCGGCTCCCCCCGACACCAGAGCCAATCTGCCAGTGAGTACTGTAACAGCCACGGAGAGCATCACTTTTTAAGCCTTTTAGTTTGAATGCGAAATATTTATTAACTTGAAGCTTTAGACTGTCAGATTCATTACTGAAGTAACTTTTTGTTAGATCGATATTTGTTTTGCTCTCCAAGCGCAGCGACTGCACTGCTTTGTAGTGACATGGCTTTGGTGTTTGGGGATCCTCTTTTGTCTTTGATCTTTTTTCCTTGTAATATGTTTAACACACACAAACACACAAACACACACACACACATCCTTCCTCTTATTGTCTTGGCATAACTTTCACTTCAAAGAAAAGCACTCATCCTGCAGAATAAAAGCATGATGCCAGAAACACTGACAATCCAGAGCGACTCGGGGGATCTGTGACACAAACATTGTTTTACATTTCATGTCCAATGGTTTTATGGTCTCTTTTAAGAGCTTAGAAATCCTCCTCTGCGAGTTAAGACTATCCATTTGATATAATCCTGTAATGGGAGATAAAGGTAATGATTTAGTCCTTAATCCAGAAGCTGTAATCTCTCCTCTGTTACTAGAGGCAGATGGAGGGGTCAAAGAGGAAGTTTCAGCGGGTTAATCATGTGGTAGCTGCCTCTTTCTTGCCTTAACCAGCTCCTAGTGTGGAAGGATGGTGTATTTGTGTGCTCCCTATGCATACATACAGAGCAGCAATTCAGTTTTTACCTCAGTCTTTATACATTTATCTGTGGTGACTGGTTTGTGTTTTTCTGAGCTTTGGCTGTACTGGACATGGGCACCTCTGCTGCCTCTATCACTGGCTTCTCTTCCCTGTAAAGCATGTGTAAACCATACACTCCTTTTCTCTGTCTGTGCTGGGATTGGTTGTTAAACCTGTCAAAGGCAGAGGGCACTTTGCTCTGATAGTCGTGCTCCTCCTTCACTATCTCAGCGTGTGTGCTTGGAGAGCCCTCTAGTGTCCTCAACCTGCACCTCAGGCTCAAATGGCCTCCAGTGCCAAAATAGCCCCTCTTTCTCCATGAATTCTGTGACAGATTGAAGTCTAGTGCTGACATGTTTCTGTTTTCCAGCAGCACCTCAGCTCCCGAAATACTTGACCCCTTCTCGCACCTCACTGAAACCCAAACAGCAGCTCCAAAGCCCCACTGCCCTACGAGGTAACAGCTAAAGGCTGTGAGACTGCTCTCTCACACAGACAAATGCACAATTTGTGACAACATAAAAGTCAGCTGAAGGTACAGATGACTGATGAGTTGTAATGATGGGTTGTTATGTTTATGGAGCGGAAATGAAAGTGAGGGAAGTTGCCAGCTCGTCATTTGAAGGGCTGAGAATGTAAAGCAACGCTGAGCACACGCTGAATTTAAGCCTTTTATTTTTGTTGCTTTCTTTGCAAGATGTTTAATACGAGGTAACCATGGAGTACGTTTGTTGTCAGAGATGAGGATGATCTTGCAACCTTGTAAGAAATGTGTGAATGTGTATTTTCTTTTGGTTGTGGTAATACTTTCTTTCTGTAAAGAATCATGCATGACAGGGTCAGTGTTGTCTCAGGTAGGTAACACCTTAGAATAGCCATTGCTAATAAATAGTAAACTGATAGTTAATTAGACTTCAGTTATGTTTTTTTATGATTCGACAGTTAGATCATAATAAAAATAGTTGTAAATAAACGTTGTGCATTTATAATATTTGTCATCTTGATAGCTGTTAGAAAGTTGCCCCTGATGTTCAAAATACTTGTTTTGTATAAATGGACGCACAGGTGACACTGGCAAAAATCCAAAGGCTGGAGAGCGTGTACTGTTTCATTCACTGTTTAGTTTTCTTCTCTCTTGCTCTTTACCTGTTTGATGCCACACATACAAGACACCTGATGGCTTTCCTACGATGCAAGTCCAACATAGCCAGGCTTTCTTTGCGATAGCTGGCTCGACACAACGTAAAATCTCAGTCAGAGGTGGCGGGTATCACGATGGAGGTTTTTATAATCCAGGCGTTCTGCTTCAGGCTCAGCATAAAAAGGGATCGAAGCATCTTTTCACTCTTGGATGCAGATCTATAAAATCTAAAAACCCCAAAATATAATAAGAAAAAGAAACAACGTTCCTGAAAATCCTGTGAAATCTTGTGAATACATAAGTCAATACATATCTATTTTACTGCTAAATGTTGCCATGAGTGCTGCACGTTAGAGCCCTGAAACTTTAAACATGATACACATTATTACTCTGCATGTCTGGGCATAGCGCTGTCCTGTAGCCTCATAAAATCCCCGTAGATTGTGGGCAGGTCAAAGTGAAATAAATGTTATTGATTGACTATTCTCAGTGATAAATTGCCAACAAACAGGCCGATGAGTTTTCTAATGTGTTCTCCGTTAGCTACAACCTCAGCAGTGTACAAAATGATTTGGCAGCAGATTGGGACCAAGCATAAATACAATATTACATTTTCTCCATGACCAACTGAATGCATGCAGTACACAGTTTGTCGAGCTGTAACTTTACTGCACAGCTTCCTTTTGTGATATTAGTAAGCCTATCAACTTGCCTGTATGAAATATAAGTCTAGAGAATCTGTATTGTACTTGCTTTAAGTGAAAAAAATCAATGAAAATCCATCCTGATGATTTTTAAAGAGAAGATCTGAACACAAACCTACTCCAGACCAGGTTATGTGCCTAGCCTAAGATATGGTGACCTAGCCAGGTACACAGAGAGTCAACTTCATGACAGAGCTCACTAACCCATTAATCTCGCTTTGTTGTGCACTTCCTCCCAGAGATGCCAGCAGCTTTCACTAAATAGCAGGAATAAGAAGGGCAATTACTAAGGAAGCAATTAAAACAAAACATTTGGTTGTCATTAACAAATACATAACATCGTTAAAGGTGGCCCCGAAGAGGTTTTAGTTATCCCAGCAGAAAATCCTCTCCTACGTCAGGTGTTGAAATTTAAATAATTTTTCTTACTGTATATTTAGGTGGGTTTTATTTAGTCAAAGGATTTTTCTTTATAGATAATTAAAAATTAGAGGAAACTGAATAGATTTCTGTCAAATAAGATGACAGACTCATTGCCTTTATCATGTGTGGCGTCAGCCCTAAAGGCCCATTTTGAGCAAAACGCCACATTACACTGCATGGTCAGCACGTTCCTCCCTCCCTGCTCTGAAATAAGGCCTGTCTCTGTTGTCTTCGTCTTTGTCTAGTCCCACTCTCCTGTTGCTTTGGAGAAGAAGGTGATTTCAGTGAGTATTCACTGAGAGCCTCCACCTTTTTAAATATCGTGATTGTGGTTTCCACGCCGTGGCCGCATCGATGTTGTGTTGTTGGTTTTTACTAGTAGAGTTTGCTCTGTGTGTTTGTATCATCTCATTCTGTCAATGCATCAAAAATCATAGCCGGCAGCTGTGCTAGTTAACCTTTCTGTTCATTTATTTATGTTTTTGAACTTATGTAGAAGTTTGTGAATTTGGAATGGATGTTGTTAGTAAAAGCTTGCATACTGTCTCAGATTTTTTTATACCGGCATCATATTTAAATTAACCTCACACCATCGTGGTTTTGATCATTACTTCATTATATAGATACTGTGTATGAAAGCAGTCCATCATAATCCACTTACACCTGACTTTTCTGCCCGTCTCCAGTTCCATCTCCCAGTAAACTACGGACTCCTGCCACCCCATCACCACTAGCCTTGCGGCAACCGGTAAAGGCCACATCTACCCCCAATTCTGCCACCTCCACCCCCACCCGCTCCCTAGCTCCTCCGCGCAGTGGCCTGCCCCGACCTAGTGCTTCTACAGGAGGAGGAGGAGGAGGAGGCGGTGGGATCCCTCTGCCTCGCAGCAAACTGGCCCAACCCGTGCGCAGGTATGTACAGACACGTCCTTATTGTGCACCTCTCTGTCTGATTAAAGAGGACGGTAACACTTTATAATAAGGGCGTAATTCCCCTGTAATTAAATGAAATTTCAATGGAATTCATTTTAAATTACAATGTAACTATATTTACCTACAAATACTTGAAATAAGCTGCAGCAGAATAAAGAGGTAGCAAGCAAGAAATAATTATACTTTAATTTAACCTCCTTTATTCCAGTGTGCCTACCTTTAAGTATCGCTAGGTAAATATGATTACACTGTAATTTCAGATAAAATACATTGAAGTTCCATCTAATTAAAGGGGAATTACACTCTTAGTCATGCAGCAGGTTATAAAGTGTTACCAGGCAGGCGTATTGTGCTTATATATATATATATTTTCGCTCTTATGTGTACACCAGTGATGTTTCTGGCTGGTAATTTACTAAAAATTGACCAGTCTAATATCAAGACAACAGTCAAAGCTGAGCACAACAGACTAACAGACAATGATTGATTGATTGATTGATTGATTGATTGAATCTTTATTTTGAACAAGTTGAAAAAGTATAAAAAAAATAGAATTAAAAGAGACAAATGAACAAAGCAAACAAAAGGAAAACGAGCAACCACAACTCCAAATAACGTCCATGTTCAAAAAGGAGCAGGAAGAAGCATAAGCTTATTTAATCCCACCCCTTTTCCACTATCTAGTATCAATAGACTACAGAAATACCTCCTTGCAATTACATTATATGTTATGTGTAATTTTTTTTTTTTTTTAAATATATACACATATATGTTTCTATCTATCCATACATACGTATATACACACATACGCACATATACACATTTTCAATAACCCCATTAACACCTCAAGGATACACAGCCTACAATTATATATATATATCCATACCAACAAACCCGTGCATGCGCACACACATGAAAATATTAGACAAGAACACCCTATCAAATCTCTACCTTTTCCCTGTACCCTGTAAAAACCATATCCTTAAACCGCTTTTTAAACTGCGCCATGCTTGGACATTGCTTCATATCTTTACTTAGTCTGTTCCACAGCTTCACTCCACACACAGAGATGCAAAAACTTTTTAATGTTGTACGGATACGAGGATGTTTTAAATTTAATTCCCCCCTCAAATTGTATCCCCGTTCCCTTTTAGAAAACATTTTTAGAATATTGTCAGGAAGCAGGTTATTTATTGCTTTATATATAATTTGTGCTGTGAGAAAATGAACCAGATCTGTGAATTTTAGAATTTTTGATTTTAAGAATAGTGGATTTGTATGATCTCTGTAACCAGTTTTATGGATTATCCTTATGGCCCTTTTTTGTAATATAAAGATTGATGAAAGCGAACATTTGTAAGTATTGCCCCAAACCTCTGCACAGTAATTCAAATACGGTGCAATCAGGGAACAATAGAGAATGTGGAGTGATTTGTGGTCCAGAATGTGTTTTACTTTACTCAAGATTGAGACACTTCTTGAAATTTTGTTATGTATATGATTTATATGAGACTTCCAGTTTAATTTATCATCTATAATCACACCAAGAAACTTATGTTCAAGTACTCTTTCAATTTCCACACCATCTACATGAATCTGCACTTGTGCATTTCTAAGGGAATTCCCAAATAAGATAATTTTAGTTTTACTTAGATTTAGCGATAGTTTGTTCCTGTTAAACCATTTTTTAATTTTGCACATTTCTGAAGTAATTGTATCCAGCAGCTCCTTTAGATTCCCCCCAGAACAAAAAATATTTGTGTCATCTGCAAATAATACTAATTTTAATATATCAGATGCCTTACAAATATCATTTATATAAATAATAAATAATTTTGGACCCAGTACAGAGCCTTGTGGAACACCACAAGCAATGTCCAAGCATGATGAGGAATGGACACCCAGCTTCACAAATTGTTTCCGGTCACTTAAATAATTTTTCACCCATTGCAGTACAACCCCCCTAATCCCATACCGTTCCAGTTTATTAATTAATATGTCATGATTGATTGTGTCGAATGCTTTCTTGAGATCCAGAAATACTCCAGCTGCATACTGTTTCTGATCTATAGCATTCGTAATCTCCTCAATTGATTCGATTAATGCCAGAGATGTTGATCTTTTTGATCTGAATCCATATTGACTGTCAGAGAGTAATTTATATTTATCTAAGAATTTGTCTAATCGTTTATTAAACAGGTTTTCTAGGATTTTGGAGAATTGTGGTAGTAAAGAAACAGGCCTGTAATTTGTGAAGTGGCGTCTATCCCCGGTTTTATACAGCGGCACAACTTTAGCTATTTTCATTTTGTTTGGCACTTTTCCCGTCTGAAATGATAAGTTGCAAATATATGTTAGAGGTCCTACAATTCCTTCAATGACCTTCTTGACGATTTTCATGTCAATATCATTACAATCAGTAGATGTTTTATATTTACACATGTGTACAATGTCAATTATTTCTTTTTCCTCCACTGATGTGAGGAACATTGAGTTAGGGTTCCTATCAATCAGGTTTTCACTACAGTCTACTGATGGCAGTGACTCAGGAATTTGTTCTGCCAGTTTTGGTCCAATATTTACAAAATAATGATTAAAGCTGTTGACCTTATCAGCAGTGTTTTGCATAATATTGCCATTATCGATAAAGTATTGTGGATAACTTTGTTGTCCAGAATTATTTTTAATGATACCGTTTAAAACATCCCATATTCCTTTCATATTATGTTTATTGTTGTTCAATATTTTACTATAATACTCCTTTCTACATACACGTATAATATTGGTCAACTTATTTTTGTATTTTTTATATTTATTTTCAGCATCTTTTGTTCTTTGTTTTAGGTATTCCCTATAGAGTGTATTTTTCTTTTTACATGCATTTTGTAAACCCTTAGTGAGCCATGGTCTATCTGAATATTTGTGCTTTCTGTTGTATTTTATTGTTGGACAGTTTTTATCGTACAACTCCATGAATATTCTTAAAAATATGCCATATGCAATATCAATATCAGCTTCTTTGTACACATTGTCCCAGTCCTGATTTAATAGATCGTTCTTAAATGCATTCATAGTTTCTTCTGTCCTTACACGTCTGTATCTCAGTTGTTCTTCATGCTGATTTTTCTTATAATTAGTGTCATAAACTGCAAAAACTGGTAGGTGATCACTGATGTCATTAATTAATAATCCACTCACAATGTTGTTTTCCATATTGTTAGTGAAAATATTGTTAAGTAAGGTGGCACAATGTGGTGTAATTCTGCTAGGCCTGGTTAGTTTAGGATGTAAACTCAAACTGTACATAGTGTTTAGGAATTCGTCGCTCATTTTATGCTTTTTTGGATTCAACAGGTTAATATTAAAATCACCACAGATAAACATAACTTTTTGATTTGTTTTAGAGAATATTTCCTCTATGAAGTCATTAAATACTTGAATACTAGAGCCAGGTGTTCTATATATACAGCTAATTATTACATTTTTTTCTTTTTCCTTATAAATTTCAATTGTTATACATTCTAGTAAATTATCAATTACAGTTGTCATACTTTCTACCACCTTGTAGTTTAGGTTTTTATCCACATACACAGCTACTCCCCTCCACTCTTGTTCCTTCTATTTACAAAATTCACTTCATATCCCTCCAGTCCAAAGTCCATTCCTTTCTCCGCATTGATCCATGTTTCAGAAATGGCAATAATTCCAAATGGATTTGTCAACTCATTTAGATATTCCTTTATATTGTTGAAGTTGGCATACAGACTTCTGCTATTAAAATGGATTATTGATAATTTATTTTCTGTGTTGATGGTGTGCTTAAACTGTTCATCAGTGAAGTAGCAGCAGTTACAGCTGATGTTGTAGTAGAAATTATTTTCCGGGTCTATATCCTTTTCTAAGTCTAGAACATTATGGTCTGTGTATTGAAATGTTCTCAGTTCCAGATTATCATAAAGAGAATTCCAATGAGTTATGTTGATATTGTTGCCGGATGCAGATGAAGTTCTTTTGGACTGTGCCATGTGTTGTGTTGTGTGTCACGTCACATGTGTATTCATACCTCCAGAGTAAGTTGACCTCAGTATTTGTCCAGCTCTTCCATATTTCTGATGACCAACACTTTGGCTTGTTCCGGTGTTCCATTGAGTTTAATGAATACTTTGCAGTTGGTGGTCCATGTATTTTGAATTTTTCCCTGTTTCTTCAAGTAACGTGCTTTCCTGGCAATGTCCGCATTTCTTTTTATCAGATGTTCGTTCATGAAGACATCGGATCCTTTCAGTTTCCTTCCTTGTTTTAACAGTGCTGTTTTCTGTTTTCTGTTTGCAAATCTCACAATGATGGCTGGTTTGTCACTGTCATTTTTTCGGGGTAGAGGGTGGCAAGCCTCAATGTTGTTATAATCCACTTCCACACCTTTGGACCGTAGAAAGGTAACCACTTGATGCTCCGTGGAGTTGACATCTTCCTCTCCTGGCCCTCCTACATTGTCAGTGGCGACCGCCCGGGCGTATGACCGGGGTTTGATGCGAAGCCCCGTGATGATAACATCGTTCATCCGGGTGTACTGCTCCAAATCCGCCACTCTGTTCTCCAGGTACGCCAGCCGCCGATCCTTCTCGGCGTTTTGGATGCGGAGAGCCTTAACTTCCTCGACCAGGTCCAGGATGGCTTTCTGCTGCAGTTTGACAGTAGAAATCTCCTCTGTCATAAACTCCAGCGACTTCTTAATATCGTCTCCTTCCTCGGCTGACAGAACTTTTTTCGGGCCCATGCTGAGAGACGCTCTTGTAGCTTTGCCGTGACGACCGGCTAGCTAGTTGATGCTAGCGTCCTTCCTCTCACTCACCGCTGAATGCCAATCTACCCTGATCTTCTTGTTAACACTGAGATCGCAGATACACGCAGAGGAAATTAATATTTAAATTGACAGCAGTGCACCTTTTCAGGCTTTGACTTTTCCACCTCCTCGTTGGTCTGTCCCAGTGCAGCAGCCAGAGCTGGATCAAGCAGCCAGCAGCCAGACCCTGTTTGAATCGGAGTCTGTAATTACATTCCTCAACAATCAAATCGTAAATTAAACGTTGCTGAAATTTTTAGTTGCTGTCACATAATGTTGCACAGACAGTCTTATTGTATTTCCTGAGTGTAGCAGCAGCAGCAGCAGCATTCTTCCCTTCCAGGTTTAAATAGCTGGCTGGTTATTTTACTTTGACCGAGAAAGAGAGAGAGAAATGCTGGTGTAGCCACAGCTCCAGCTAGTGGTGAGTGGTTGTAGAATCTCCATCCACCACTAGCTCTTTTAATGTCTTTTGATTCCACTGTTCTTACAAATTTGTGCAGTTTTACTGTTATCGCCTGTCTTTTAATTTCTATAATTCACTTTCTGCGTTCTGTGTGTTGCTTTGTGGTGGTTCCATTCCCAGATTGATTCCACTCTTATAAAGGTTGGCCAGTCTTGCTTCCTCCAAATAAGAACCTTCTAACTTTGAAACTAACACCCAGGAAAGGTTAATCCATCCATTTTCTTAACTGCTTATCCAGTTCAGGTTTGAGGGTACACTGTCATAGGACAGGAGGGGGGTACACTCACACACACTAGAGTCACACTTGTGGCCAAAGCTGCATCTCTTTGCCTGTGGGAGGAAGCACAAGTACCTCCAGGCAAACGCTGGCAGATTCGAACCCAGGACCTTCCTGCTGGAGAGCGACAGCGCTAACAATCACACTTTCTGTTCATTGTTATTGGTTTAATATGCAGACATTCACTTTGGAACAGCCTGGCTGGGAGTGCAAGGCTCGCAGAATTAATGACCAACTTTATATCAGTCCTTAAAACATATTTTTATGCGATTCCATCAGAGTCTGGCTGATGTCTTTCAGTTGTTTTGTTTATTATCTATTTTAAGTGCTTTAATGTGTCTGTGATATTTATTTTGAATTGTTTTCTGTCTTGTATCTCTTTATTTTTATTATTATTGTTGGCTGTTACAGAAATGCATTTTCCTTGCTTGCCTTTTCAGGTCCCTTCCTGGTCCGCGGACTTACAGCGGCGGCGGTGAGAACTGGAGAGAAGGTTGTTACTAAGGCGGGCCACCAGGGGGCTCTCCAGTCAAAACTATCAATAAAAGGAGGAAATATTTTAACATGGCACTTTATCTACCTAGATAACTCTTATAGTTCAGAAAGACCAAGCCCCCAAAAATACATTTGATTAAGAGTTTAAAAAAGAAAAAGGGAGAGGACAGAGTCCACATTGTGTCAAAGAGGACCTCTCATTGTGTCTCTCTGTGGGGACTGGCTCTGGAGGGGTCAGGCATGTAGTGCAGACAGCCCAGAAGATGCCAAAGAAACCAGCCCGACTCCAGCGCCCCCATCAGAGGACACGTCACCTGCCTTTGGTTCAACTGCAGTCATCCGTGAGACTGTCCATATCTCCACATGCCCAGCTTTCCTCCCCTCCCCCTCCTCCTCGTCCTCCTCCCCCCTGTTCTTCTTTCACTTCCCTCAGGTTGAAATGTTTCCACGCATTTCTCTCTTTATGCTCTGTGTTTAACAGATGTCGGTGAGCGATCTCTATGATGATGCTGTGCAGGTGAACTGTCCCGTAACGTTAGAGAATTGTTGATGTCTTGAAACAGTGAAAGCACCTCTTGTGTGGGTTTGACATTTAAGAATCTTTCCTCTTTGTAAAATCAGCCAGAATGTATGCACAAGTTTGTTTTGGAAAATTATTTATTCAAAATTATTTAAGAAGTGTACATCCAAACATCCATATCAGTATTTTGTTTTAAAATTTCAGTTGTTTAAAATGTACGTTTTGAACCTCAACTGCAAAGCTAACTTTCCAAAGCCTTTTTTTGTTTGTTTGTTTTTGTTTTTAAAGTGTCAAACCGGGTGATTAAAGACATCCCAGCCAAAGCCTCAGTTCTGACTCGTACCACAGTTTTGCCAAGATTATACTTTTCCATTTAAGTGCTTAAAGTGGTCTGTTCAAGAACAGGGGCCAGTCTCACAAAGACGACTCAGTTCTAAAACCGTGTGTAAAAGATGGATTTTTGGTAAGCTGACAGCTAACGCTAGCATTCGTACAGCTCACAGATATACCTGCTGCTTCAGAGAGGAGGAACAGAGTAATTCAACACTAGAATTTTAAAATGCACTAAAGCTACAAACAGCAGGTAGGTTCAGTTCAATGACTCTGATTAGCAAATGTGCAGTCTGCTCCACGTGCATGTGTCAGGATTCAACACCCATATTTTAATTTAGTTTAAATTAGCGAGTTAAATTGGGGGGTGGGGGGGGAAGACCCCAGGAGACTAAAACTAAGCTGTAGCTGTTTGTGCAACTTTATGCGTAAACAAACCAAAACAAAAAAAAAACCAACCAAAACACATGGTTCACCAAAGTGCTTTCCAAGACGGCAAAAAAAAAATATACATAAATAAAATTTCAAAAAATACCAAAACACGTTAAATAAAATTAAAGATAACAATAAAACTGACTAATAAAAAAAAGAACTTGCTGGTTATTTTAAAACAGGAGTCTCTAGTGAGTTGCAACTCAGTGAACTGCAATTTTTTTCCCCAGCCCAGCAGCTTTCTGCTTGGCGACATAAACCAGTTTGTCCTGGACTATTTTTAAATAATTGAACATCATTTTATCAGCAGTGTCGCTGAGTGAATACATAATTTGAAGTTAGCCCTGGAGAATGGTGACGCTTTTGACCTAAAGGTACTTTTTTGTAAATCTTTGTTTTTATTAGTGGTTCAAAACAATAAAAATGAACCAAAGCTGTCAGAAGAAGAAGAAACAATCGTTCTAACTTTATGTCCACATTGCCTTTGAATTATGTTTAAGAGCTCAATCTGGGCCATTCTGTACTTTGAATTATGTTGTGGTACAATTTTGCACCACAAGATGGTGCAGTGACTCATCGTAACGTTTCCTAAACCTGACTAATCATTAGGAGGAACACGTGCTTATTTGCTCTGGTGTTTTGGGGAAAAGGGAAGCCTCTTGTATAAATAGGGAAGGGTAAAGAGAACTATCAAATTTAAAAAATGGAACAGAAACATGAATGTGCTGCCCCCTGCTGGTGAAAGTTATAATTAGATTATGCAGATAACTACAAAAAGTACCTTTAGATAAAAGTCAGTGGTTCTTTTTGTGAAATTCAGACTAGATTACACATTGGTGACCCGGGCTTTTATTTATCTTACCTGCAGACAATAGCAGGCATTTCATTTATAATTGTTCATAATAGTCCTCTTTCCGCTGCAAGACCAAGCTTCAATTTGGGATCCACTCTGAGCTACTGAATTGTGCTTTTAATAGAAACACAGCACTTCAAGTAAGCACTTAAAGTTAAAAGCCCTTTCATTTGGGACTTTTATCACTGAACCTGAGCTGCTAATTGACTCTGTTGCAGAAATATGGCAGCCAAAGAGCACATTTTAGACCCTCGCACACTGGAGTCTCAGATCTCTTTGTGAAACTGGCCCCAGGTTAACATTAGCTCTGAGTTTTTACTGATGTCTGATTTAAAAAAAATGTTGAGAAAAATAGCCTGAAAGAGCTGTTTTGTCCCTGTTCACCCATTCAGCCAATGAAAACAAGGAAACTTTGATATTGTTTATCAAATCCCCATAAGAGATGTATCAGTGTGTATCATTCATACCATGAAAAAAAGGAATATGATGAAAATCTGTCTTGAATACATTTTAGGTTTTGATTGGCTTTTACCTCTTATGCTATGAGAATGAATCAAAAGGCATGCCAGTGTTCGGGAAGCTGTACCGGTGATTGATGTGGTGGGTGTTCTTAAACTAGTGCCTATAATTTAAAGTTTGAACATAATTTTGTTTGTATGTTTTCTTTTTTCTTGGTGCCAGTTTTTGGTTTTGCCAACATTGTTTGCAATTTTGCATCTGATTGCTTGATTGATTTGCTTGTTGCCTGTTTGTTTTTTTTTTTAAATAGAATCAACACATTTATAATTGCTTTTAAAAAATGTTTTAAACGCGCCTTTGTATTTATATCTAATTACTCGCTCTGTAAATGAAACTATTTATTAAAGAGAGAGGTGCCTCTGTTAAAGCTCAGATTCAGTGGGAAGCTGTAGGACGAATGTTGCAAAAAGACATACCACACCTTTTGTGTGACAGGTTTTGTTATTGAAATTTTTTTTATATCCACAAACATGACATTCGGTTTCCCTGTGTAAAGTCACATTTCAAATAAAAGCTCAAAAGTATTCTTACATGTAGCTTTTCCTTTTTCTTGTTTGCAATTTTGCTAATTTGGAACTATAAAACTGTTTGTAAACACAAAGTGTACAAGCTGCACACCGTGGAGTTTGTACACATTTAAGGACAGTTTTTAAACCACATGTACACTGAGCAGACACTTTAATGTATCTAAAAAATAAATAAAGTGACTGCGGAGGCAGAGAACTCATCATCATGTTCAAGAAACCACTTCTGCAATATGGCATGTTATACAGCGGGGAGCAGCCATCTGAAGATGGTTCACTGTGGTCAGTACTAAGGGGCCCGAAATTGAGATCAGGTAATGTTTTTCAGAGGATGAACTGAGGGTGTGCACAAAGGCCCAGAAGAAGGTACATAAGGGAATATTTTTATGTTATTTATTTAGATTTTTACTTAAAACTGCCATAAAAAACACATCTTATATAGCACTGTAATATCTGAGCACTCAAAGCATTTTATACAACTTGTCACACTCATACAGGCTCTTTTTTTTCCTCCATGGTTTTAATAGGTTTAATAGAGTACACTCATATATTGTGTCAAAATTATTTCTGGGTATGTAAATCTGTCTCTGTGTGCGCTCTCACTTTACTATAACATTTATATTTTCTAAAAGAAAAAAGCAAACAACAACAACAAAACAATTTGCTTGCACTGTTCTTTGCTCTTGTCAGCTGTAATCAATTACAGTATTTATTCATTTTGTACTGTACTTTTGTTTTAGTCTCATACACTATGTCCAGCTGCTGATGGGGACACATTATGTATTCTGCACAGAGACAGCGTTACGTACCTGGAGTCACCCGCTGCTGCTGAGGAGGGGACATGGTGTGTTTCTCTGGGAAGGGGAGGAGATTGAAAGCCTGAGTCACCGACTGTTCTGTCCCCTCTTCAGCTCCGAAGAGTGAATTTATTTTTTCCAGACTCTCATCTTCGTGTGCTAGATTCACTCAGGATCATTTCCTGTGTGCTGCAGACACACAGAACAAAGACAGTTCATATGAGTGATGCTGAATAAGATAAACCATTATTGTGGAGAACACACTGTCACAGCAGCAGACCACAATATTTCATCGGTGCTGCCTATGCCGTCTACACAACAAAGGTTTAAAATAAGCAACGATCAAACCATTTACCATGTACAAATTTTACCTCACTCATATTTAGGATTTCTGTTAAAAGATTTTCTTTGTCATATTGATGGATAAAAGATTTCAACATAAAAAATATTATGTATTACAGGAATTGAAATGTAATGATAAATATAGGCTTCAGGTTTATAAAAAGCAGATTCAGCAACAATATTCATCCTATTAGCTGTAATATTGTGTAACTGCTCTGCCCATTAAAGACCAAGGACCTCTGGGTGTGTCCTGTGCTTTCTGGCACCCAGGGAATCTTTTCAGTCCTGTAGGTTGAGGTGTGGGAACTGTGTGGTTTGCTCCGTGGCATCATGCATTTTAGGCTCAATGCGCCACAGCAAAATGTTTTTTAATGTTTAGGAATCACACATGTCTACCTTATTTGAATTCAAGAATGAAAATATATGTGGGAGTGAGCTTGAGCCCGCTTTAATCACGTAAGAAATATATCAGACTCCACCAGGAGTACTTTTGGGAGCAACTGAATTATTTCAATTCCAGCTGATCTGACCAATATATATACAAATTCACTGTGATATATATGCTTTCAGGTTGGTATTTATAAAACACTAATCAGAGTTCCCAAGTTCTTGTTTGAGGTCAAACGCTGAAGTCTGATTTTAATAATAATAATCTACTGAACCAAAAGACTTATGCGCAACGTAACGTTTGAGGCGAGGACTCGTGCGTAATGCGACCAGCATGACCAAAAAAACGGGGGGGGGAAAGAAAAGGGCGGGCGGATTTTCACAGTTTGCTGCAATAATTTAAAGATCAACACAGTCTCTGCTTACTCAACCTCAACAAGTAACTGACTTAGCGCAACTTACATTTCCCATAAATGTCAAGGATCTTTTCCATCCTTCTGCAGAACACGCGAGAGACGAAACAGCAACCACTCAACAGAGTCTCATTTTTCAGGATGGCAAACTGTCAGAGTGTAATAATAAGATTGAAGTTTGCGGGGTCTTTCTTCCTATACAGCGCAGAGCTCAGTGTAAATGGCAATTGTGGTAGTTATTAATTGGTCCAGCCACTCTTGCTTAAACTTACGACCCTGTGCTGTCTTTCCTCCAGCAGTTTAGCCCAGAAACAATCCGTGGCACCACTCAGACTCATTAGACTATCAGTACCATGGCACCATCACATACCCCGACTACTGGACCTTCCGCAGTTTCTTATTAGTGACAGTGCGTCACTAGAGGAATCGTTTACGCACGAGCCAATACAGGCACAAGGCGACGGTTGAGATTTTCTGATCTCCTTTTGCGCCATGGAGAACTCCAGTCTGCCGGGTGGAAGTGCGCAAAGTGCTGGTTCGGTGGACTTTATTACTTTAAAGCAAGTGGATTCTCCGGAGGAGGGTGTCATGAAGGGATTAGGAGCGGTCGGTCGTGCCGTGTTTCTCCAAGGCAGCGGTTACAGGACTGTAGCCGAGTTTATGGCCGTTCTCCCGACGGAAACCTCTCACCTGATGCCTGCCTTCTGGGACTCCCCGCTCAGTCACGGCATCAATGTGTTCGTCGGACTGGTACTTTGCTTCACTATGTTGGGGCTGGGCTGCACGGTGGAGGTCAGCCAGCTCGGAGAACATATCCGCCGACCCATCGGGGTGCTCCTGGCTCTGGTGTGTCAGTTTGTTATCATGCCACTAGTGGCTTTTCTTTTGGCGCTAGCCTTTTCTTTGGATGATGTGGCGGCGATGGCCGTGCTCCTCTGTGGCTGCTGTCCTGGAGGAAACTTGTCAAATATTATGTCTCTGCTTGTGCACGGAGAGATGAATCTAAGGTAGATCCCCTTACTCACCTAAGCATGACTTGAAGTGGGTTTTAGTGTTAACAGTGTTTTGTGCGCAAATTCTGACATTAACGCACTGAAATAACAACACTTAAGAATAACTTTTAAGTTCTGCATGCTTTTTTTAAGCCATTGCTACATTTTCCTCAAACGATCCAACACCGTACGTGCTGCACGTCCACCATACTCCTTCTTTTCTCTACTCCTCCCAGCATCATCATGACCATATCCTCCACTCTGCTGGCGCTCGTTTTGATGCCGCTCTGCCTCTGGATCTACAGTCGAGCCTGGATCAACACCCCTGTGGTTAACCTCCTGCCCTTTGGGGCCATCATACTGACACTTTGCAGCACCCTCATCCCCATTGGGTTTGGAGTTATGCTTAGGTACCGCTACACGCGAGTGGCGGATATTGTTTTAAAGGTAATCTGACAACAATTAACTTTTATACATCCGTTCGATCATTTCGTTCCAGCCGAAGTGCTTTTGGTTAGGGGCCTTAGCCCAAAAGCGCATTGCGTATTTCTTGGTCTCAGTTATTACTAGTGGGGTGGCTGACCGCTGGAAGAGTGACATCAGAGGCACTATATCAGGAAGAGCTCCTCCCTGTGCTTTCTGATAAAAGCGACACATGAGGGCCTCATCAGTTAGAGTACACAGTTATGTTGGGCACCACAAGCACAACGAAATTATATGCTGTCCCCTTAGTGCAAAGAAAGCAGTCTATCTTAAACTTTTATTATATGTACACAATTTTTAAAAAGGAGTTTACAATAAATAAATAAAGCAACATAAAAATGTGATGTTATTAGTTATTATTGGTTGCGCAGATTGGATATTGCCTTTATGGTTCAAATGAAGAAACAAACCGAAATTTTTTGGTTTTAAAAATCATGTCTTGTAGAAAGTTGCTGCCATATTTTTAAAAAAAATTCTCACGCTGAATTCTTGTGTTTGCAGGCTTCTCTGTGGTCTTTGTTGTTCACCCTGGTGTTACTCTTCATCCTTACTGGAGCAATGCTGGGGCCAGAGCTGCTCTCCACCATCCCGCCTTCTGTCTACGTGGTGGCTGTGCTGATGCCTCTGTGCGGTTACGCTGCAGGTTACGGGCTGGCAGTGCTTTTTGACTTGCCCCCCAACAGTCGCAGGGCTGTGTCTCTGGAGACGGGCTGCCAGAATGTGCAGCTGTGTACGGCTATCCTGAAGCTGGCCTTCCCTCCTCAGCTGATGGGGGGGATGTACATGTTTCCCCTGCTCTACGCCCTGTTCCAAGCAACCGAGGCTGGGATTTTCATCCTGGCCTACAGGATGTACAGGAAGGAGGTCCTGCATAAACCAGATCCCATGGTGGACGGTGAGGACACGGACATAAATTATCAAAGGTTTGAAGACGAGGACTTTGAACCGTCATATGGTGCGGTGACAGTGAGCGACCCAAACACTATCATGCTGGATCCTTGTCCTCCTGATCCAACTCCAGTTTAATCTGCATAAAAATAATAAAATAAAAAAAACAAAAATCGCTGCTCCCCTATGGAGGACCAAAACTGCCAAATTGAAAAAAGAAAAAAAAAAGAAAAAACATATATATATGACTCAGTAACACAATTAATAGACATTAAATTATTACTTAAACACAGAAATGAATAAAGCTATAATATAAACACTTGTTTTTATTGTTTTCAACATGTCACTTGGTATTATAGTTATCCCACTTTATTACTTTCATTCATTTTGACTTTTATTTTACATTTATTTAATGATTCTTTTTATTATTTATCTATTATTTGACTGTATTTTTAGCCAAGTGGGAACTCCTAGGACTGAAAAATGAAGCAAATGCAAAGGTAATAAAACCTTCATCTAATACTGGTCCTTTAAAGACCACGTGAGGTTGGCTCCAAGCAGACATTATAAAAGATGGATCTAGCTACCGTGACATCACTTGTTGGTTTCTGAAGTCCAATTTTGAAGCCTGGGGATGTGGTTTCTGCAATCGCCAGCTTAGTTGCAAAAATCCACATATGAAGAGATAACGGTCTGACTGTGAAAATGGATGCTCATTGGCTAACGCTCACTGACTTGTAGCTACATACCACAGATATCCTTCCATTCTGCTTTGCTTATAAAACAGACCTTGGTTTTTATTTTTAGCATGACCCGAAATGAGTGATTGAGACCATAAACTCAGCAGGAAAATCAGAAAATAATTTTCCCACAGAACTCTATAGAATTAAATGACTTTTCGAAACCACAGCTATTGCCATCTGGTGGTCTTCAAGTAGGATACAGATATTTTGGCACTTCTGCATTGGCTTTATTGTTAGACCCAAAGGTTACGTCCATCTTTGATACATGTGTATGATTTAAATTGGTTGATTGAAATTCGGGTGTTTTATTCATTTCTTGCTTAAGATTAGCAGGGATGTGCACCTTTAGCTCCTCGCAGACTCTGTGCCGTGTTATTGTTTATGAGCTTTGATTGGCCAACATTTTTTGAAGGTTGGGGTTATATCACCACCTGTTGCTTTAGCATGCTCTTGACTGCGCTCGAGATTGGTTTTGCATTTTCATGTGTAAGGAGACATTTTTTAAAGACAAACTCGGAAAAATCTTGTTTTAAAAAGTACCTGCGTAGCTAGCCTTCACACATAAGCTTTCCCTTTTCTAAATGGGTCACCCTCCCTCAACCCTCCCATTTATCCAGGCTTTGGAATAGCACCGGGAATCCAATAGCGTGTGACCTCGCCTTGGAAAAATGTGGGGGTAGGGCTGCGTTCTCCTAGTCTCAAAATGGTGATCATGCACATGTAAGGTGAATGTGTTAACCACTACACTATGTTGTTATATAAATCTGGAAACTTCAACCGCTGATAAAGCATATAATCTAATTACTGAGTCATTTATTGACTAATTTCTTTATTTTTTAATTTTGGCAGTTATGACCTTCCATACATACTATCACGCAGGGAAGCAGATTAAGGCGTTCAGATGGATTTATCATTTCATCGCTGTTATTCATAAAAGAAATGCCTGTAAAATGTTAACATGATTGCTAAAAAGGTGCTTTATGTCCTGAGCTTAACTCGTTCATCCTAACCACTGATGTCTCATTTCGTGATATAAAAAAAGCAAAAGAAACATGACTTCAAAGTTGCATTAGTGAAGCAGGACAGTGTTTCGTTCCAATGCTTTAAGTGTGTGTGTGTGTGTGTGTGTGTGTGTGTGTGTGTGTGTGTGTGTGTGTGTGTGTGTGTAAGAGAGACTAAAAGCCATTTTAAAAACATAGACTGATTCATGTGCAGTTTTCCCAACAAGCCTGTGCCAAAACTTTAGCTTACCTGTGCTCTACAGTCTGATCTTAATTGTACTGTAAAAATTGTGCCAATTAAAGACGTATAAACACAAAACAGGCACACCTCTGTCACGTGTCTACTTTCCCCTCCTTTCTTGTAATGAGACGTCCTACACCTGATCTTAATTAGGTCTAATGGAGAGCTCCACTCTATTTAACTAGTTACAGCAAAACCTCGGCCGGTTGAACAAACATGGCAACATATGGTGACGAGCCAGTGGACGCCTACTTCTATTCTTCTTACAATCCTTACATGGGCAGATACCCCCGGCCTAAAGACGCGGGGTGGAAATACAAAAGTTACTTCTCCCACTATGGAGACTCTTCTGACGCCTTCAACAACCACCAGCGCGCACAGCTGAAGTCCATCTTGTCCCAAATCAACCCCAAACTCACCCCGAGGCTCAGGAAGGCGAACACCAAGGATGTGGCAGTGCAGGTCAACCCGAAGAAGGACGCTTCGGTGCAGTGCTCCATTGGCCCGCGCACCCTTCTGGCCATGAAGCGGGACTTCCAGCGCAAAAGGAAGCAGGAGCCAGCGACGCCCGGCAGCCCCAAAGCGACGGGCGGTGTGCGTTACCCCCGCACCCTCGCCGTCTACTCCCCGATAGCATACAGGAGCGTCACCTCCTTCCTGGTCGATGAAAATAACAACAATAAGGAAACCTCCAGTGAGACGGTGCAGACCGGTGAGCCCCCGGGTGAGCCGCCCGAGCCCTCCGAGGACACCGAGGGGAAGGACGAAGACAGCCAGGCTGGTGGGGATGAAAAGACCGCAAAGCGAGCAGAGCAGAGCAAAAAGCTCAAGTCCAAACAGCTGGCCAGGAGTGAGGATGCGCAGCCAACTGCGGAGGACTCGAAGGGCAAAGCGCGTGTGCGGTTCCAGGTGAGTTAATCACGCACCGGGAGGTTCATACTTGGCAGTTTTTCGAAGAAGAACGTTTGCGCCACAACTGCTTGGAAATTGCCTTGTATATTAAATGGCTCATTCAAGGACATGGGTTGGCGCATTTCCTTTTTCTTTCAGAACTGAACGTCCAGTTTGGAAGCTGTAGTATTGTCCCAAATAAGTGCGAAAATGGCACTAAAATACTCACTGTCCTTATAAACTAGTCTTTAATTTGTTCCACTTCCTGGATACTGTTTAGGTATTGCCCAAGCCTTAACGACCTTAAAGTTGTTCCCAAGTTGAGCAGCTCTTTAGCCTTGGTTTAACCAGACTTGAGGGCAGCATCTATCAGAGACCCGTCTTCAAACAAAACTATTGGCAAATTTCTGTTTAGAACATCATCCAGAAAATATGCTTCTAATTTTGTCAGTGTGCTACCTATAAAGTTTAATCTGTTTCAGTTAATTTGCTAATTAACAATCAACTCAAAGTATATTTGTTTAGCCCCCCTTTGCAAGTGTCATGATCATGGCTACTCGGATTGTTCTCCTCTCAAACAACATATGTGGATGGTTTATTTTTGGATGGATTCCTTCTAATGATTTCATTGAACTAATTTTGGTTTTTGTCCTTCAGTTTCTGGAACAGAAATATGGATATTATCACTGCAGAGACTGCAATCTGCGATGGGAGAGTGCCTATGTGTGGTGTGTTCAGGGCACCAACAAGGTGAGCAGCTCTGTTTAAGGTCCTCCAAAGATGAAATGTGCTTTATCAAGAGTCCACCATAGGAAGTCCTCAGTGCAACAATGACTGACTTCCAGAGACCTGCTGCCTAGAAAGTATCTGAGTCCTCTGCTTATCTTCCAGGTTTACTTCAAACAGTTTTGTAGAAAATGCCAAAAGGAATACAACCCATACCGTGTCGAGGACATCACGTGTCATGTAAGTCCTAATCTGTCTGTGTGGATTTTGAATGGCTTGTTAGTCTCCACTTAACACTTCCTCTCTCCTCAGACTTGCAACAAAGCACGCTGTTCCTGTGCAGTAACACAACGACACGTCGATCCCAAACGACCCCACAGACAGGATTTGTGCGGCAGATGCAAAGGCAAGCGGCTCTCTTGCGACAGCACATTCAGCTTCAAGTACATCATCTAAGGAGCGTCTCGACTGAACTGTCCTCAGTATGCTGGCACAACTTGTACTTGGGGGGCATCTTGAACCCACTGCTGGTGCAACGATGGCATCTTGGATGCAAAATGTATTTTTGATGTTTCTGTACTTTATTTCACACCAGTTCTCTTTGTGTTGATGAAACTGAAGCACCGCATGTGCTTTACGATGTAATAAATGGCTAGCTTGCATTCGGTCTGTAAGCATGCTCACTTAAACTGTCACTGATCTCAACTCAAATGCAGCACCTTGGAGAATCCTGTTGTCTAAAATCAGGCTGACATAAACCTGAACATGTGCAATAAACTAAGACTGACATCAAATTATTGGAAACTAGGTTGCCGTGGCACCAAAGACACTGAAACTGGTGGGTCGAAGACTAAACACTTGGCTTAAAAAAAATAAAATCTGCTGTTCTGAATATCAGTGTATCCTACCCATTCCTTCGTAATTGTTTGCAGATCTGTTAGCCAAACGGTCACTGGTAGCTATGAATACTCACTCTGGCTATTGCTATGACTTTTGAGTGATGAGACCATACAGAGCCAAAGAGCACGGATTGGATTTAAATGGTTCATATGTACAGGGATTTTTACTAAAACCCTTCACCACTTTACCCAGTGTCTTAAGTGCTTTCTAATACACACTTGCACCACAGGGAATCTGGGTTTCAGTGTCTGGCCCAAAGATACTGGGACAGGAGAACCATCTACCTCCGGAGCCACAGATGCCCCTGTGGATTTGGGAATGTAGCTTTTTTTTTAAACCTCCACACTGGTAAGCAGATGGGGGTGTGCCCATGCAGCACATCTTGTTTGCAGAATTTCAATTCAATGTTATTTATATAGCACCAAATCACAACAGTTGCCTCAAGGTACTTTATATTGTATCTATTATTGTAGGATCAACTGTACAAATAAAAACCCAACAATTATATGACCTCTATGAGCAAGCACTTTGGCAACAGTGGGAAGGAAAAAACTCCCGGCTATCTGGTATTTTAAGATAATTAGTATATTTTTTTTAAACTTCCAGTGAGTCTGGCAGAGTCCAAGAAAAAACACATGGAGATGGTGCTTTCAATTTTAATAACTGAAGATCAAGATCATTCTGTAAGGTTTTTATTGATCCAGAAAAGGCTGGTATGAGTGAACAAGGAAAAAATGTATAATGCAGCTCTACATTAAAATATCTTCCAGGTAAATAATCATTAAATAAGAACAGCATTCATATGTACCAGACAAGCAGGAGGAGAAAAAGAGAAGCTCTGAGGAATGAGTACAGTGACTGTTACAATGTGCCATGACAAGCTGTCCAAGAAGCATTCAGATAACGGTTCATGTCCTGCAGTCACAGCAGCAAGTAGGGGCATTGTGAGAGTACACACCCGCTTCCCCTCAGAAAATAAATAAACAGGATCAAAACGCAGCAGTGGATGAGCGCCGCTTTGCAACATGATCGACCTACATGGACAGATTCAAACCTCATCTCCTCCCTCGTAAGGCTTTAAGCAGAGCCTACGCTGCTAACAAAAAGATCACAGTGGAGACAAGGAATGCATATGTATGTGGGGCTTGGCTGGGTTGGTGGGATCCAGCAGAGGAGATGGAGGCTTGTTTTGATCTCCCATTCCATCGCCGCCAAAGGCGGACGGGTGGCTTGTCCCAAACGAGCATCGCTTCCCTCTTTTGAAACCACAACCACCAACCAAGGCAGCCTTTGGGAAATTTGTATGATTGGATGACTAAAGGTGGAGCGGACCATTAATGACTCAAACCTGTTTCTGGCTTTCTCATCACATTAGCTTTATACAGACATCCTAATCGGATGAACAGTGCATTACACAAAAGTACAAGGGGAAAAAAAAATACTGGTTTTACACTATACATTTTCTAAAATATATACAGAGTAAAATAAGTTATGTTTCCATAATGAGCTGTAGCCAGTCCGCACTTGTGTGCAATTATATGCATTTTTGTGTGTGAGCGTATACCAGAATATCCAATATATAATCACACAGT